TGGCAAATTTGGCCAAAAGTATTTCGTGAGCGAGAATTGAATTCGGTGACTCGCTCAATTGTGAAGTAGTTGTTGTTGTTCATGTTAATGTCCTGAATTTATATTATTATTATTATTTATCCATTCATTTAGTTATTTATTAAAAATCCATAAACAGATTAGCACACCTAGACATTAATCCTTGTATACCCCTTAGAGCGACGACGTGGGTTTTAACTACTTAATATTGATTTAAATGGAAAATTAATAACAAATAATTTCATAATATTTACTTAAAATAATTTAAAAACAATTTATAGCTGAAGCATTAACTATTTAAGGCAATAAAGATAAAGGCTAAAATAATTTCAGAAATTTAAGGTTTATATAATTAAAGTTAAAAATAAAATAAATTAAAAATATTAAAATTAAAATATTAAAATATTAAAATATTAAAAATTTTAAATAAATTAAAATTAAAAATAACAAAAAAATATTGATAATCAAGCTTTTTTTTTGAAAATATTTATAATATAATTTTTTAAAACTATTTATGATATAATTTTTAAAGAGATATATTTATTATAAATATTTTGCAAAAATTTTAAAAACCATTTAGATATAAAAAAATTGAGATTTGGACAAAAATATTATATAATTAGATAATAAAAAATATATAATTTTTATAAAGTTAATTGAAAAATGAATTTTTTAAATTATATATTTTTAAAAATATTACACCTAAATACGACCCAAGACTTAAAATAACGTATAGTCCAATAAAAACTTAATACCGATTTAGAACTAGACTATTCGTTATTTTCAGTCCTAGGCCCCATCTCTTGACGACATAACGGACAAAAATTAAAATTTCGTGATAAATTCCAAAAACATTTGCGATGGATTTTATGATTACATTGTAAAATAATAATATTTTGCTGTGGGGCGAATTCCATATTGCAAGGTCCACACAATGTCCCGTCAGAAATAAAATTACTAGGCAATTTAATGCTTGAATTCATTATTGTATCTCTTCGAGCCATTGATAACCCACCAGGCGCAATATAGTGATCGGATACATGACCTTGACCTCTATACATTTCAGCAAATTCTCTTTCCTCATCACGAATTACACGCGGAATAGAATAATTAAGAGGGGGTGGTGTGTGCCCGGCCGTGCTCAAAACATCACGCAACTAATAAAAAATACACTTATATATTTTAATTTAATTACCCGAATTGGTTGTTGAACATTTCTACTTGCATTTTGTTCAGAGGCCGAGGACTGAAAAATTAATGTTTTATTTAAATATAAAAATTAAAAAAATTAGATACACTTGTATATTTTAATTTAATTACCCGAATTGGTTGTTGAACATTTATACTTGCATTTTGTTGGGAGGCCGAGGACTGAAAAATTAATGTTTTATTTAAATATAAAAATTAAAAAAATTAGAATTTAAAAAATTTTAAAATTTTTTTAAATTTTAGAAATTTTAAAAATTAAAAAAATTTTTAATAATTAAAATTTAAAAATTTAAAAAAATTTTTAAAAATTAAAAAGATTTAAAAAATTTTTTAAATTAATAAAAAAATTAAAATTTTTTAAATAATTATAAAAAAAATAAAAAAATTTTAAAAATTAAAAAGATTTTAAAAATAAAAATTTTTAAATTTAATTAATTTATTAAATTTTTTAAATAATTTTTAAGCATAAAAATATATAATTTAACTTATCTAATACTTTTTTAAACTATGAATAATTATTTCTATCATCAGTTTAGCAGCAAATTTAATTTAATTTAATTTAAAGCTAAATTCAATAATAAGAGAAATTTAATAAAAATTTTTTGTTTTTAATATAAAATTCATATTCAAAAATTCATATTTAATTTTATTGAAAAATCAATAATAAAAGATAAATCAAACCTTTAAATAAAGTAATGATTAATATTCTATAATAATTTATTAAATGAATTGTAAATAAATTTTTAATTATATTTAATAACAAAATTTATATTTAATAAAAATTTATATTCAATAAAAATTTCAAATTTAAATTCAAAAATTCAAGGATAAATATAATGATAAATATTATATATCTTTTTAAATGAAATATTAAAAATTTAATTTTTTATGTAATTTAATTTTTAAATTAAATATATTCAATAGCGAAATTTATGTTTAATAAAAAATTTAAGTAAAAACATTAATTTTAATCAAAAATTCAATAATAGATTATAAAATACAATGTTAAAGAAATTTATAATTATATTCAATAACAAAATATATGTTTAATAAAAATTTATATTAAATGCAAAATTCATATAAAGTTTTATTGTAAATTCAATAATAAACGTAATGATTAATATTTTATAATAATTTATTAAAAGAAATATTAAAATAATTTTTAATTATATTCAATAAAAAATTCATATTAAATTTTATTATATAAGAAGATCTATGTAAATGAAATATTACAAAAGTAAATAATATTTAAAAATATTAAATTAATGATTTTTATTAAAAAATTTTTTATTGAGAAATTGAATTACAAATTTAAATAATTAGTTAATGAAAATTTGAATTTTTTAAATTGAAAGTGAAAATCGTAAGTTTTTTTTTCAAAAAATTTAACCCACATATGCCACATCATCCTCTTCTTCATCTTGAGCAGGGCCTGAACCAGTTTGCGAAGCATATATAACAGCAGAAGAAGATGGCCCTGTCTCTATAGAATTGTTTTGTTGTCTTTGAATAATTTCTATTTTGGACGATGCAATAAATTTAAATTTTATATCGACAGTGCCAGTCCATTGTTGACGAGGCCCGGTTTCTGGGACCACCAGTAAATTTTTAAATTTAACAATCTAATAAAAAAATTTTATTTAAAATTTTTTAATTTAAATTTTTTTTCAAAATTTTATATTAAAAAAAAATTTTTTTTCAAAAATTACATCATGTAGTTTTGCTTCTTGTAGACGATCAGAATAATTCTTCCAAGAAAATATAGAAATTGTTTCTTTTTCTCCTTCTCTGCCAATTTGAACGTGGCAATCCGTTCGATCCCAACCGTGCTTCGGAGTTGGCCCCCTATGTGTAAAAATTACTTCCCCAACCAACTCCCTTAAAAATTTTAATTATTATTTTTTTTAATTTTAAAAAATTTACGGGAAGATATTGTCTTTCTGCCATCCAATCATGAAAAGATCAGTGTTTGTCAAATTAGAAACACTATCAATTGAGTTGATGAAACGAGCAGCTTCTGGTTGACTGCTATTTAAACGTTGCTGTCGTTTTAGTGCAATCTTAAATTAAAATTAATTTTTTTAAATGTTTAAATTTTTTCAAAATACAAAATTTAAAAAATTTACTTCGGCCGCCACTTCTAGGCGCATTTGACTTTGTTGTTGTTGTTGCTCATTAATATTATTAGCAGGCATCATATTAGCAGGCATCATCTTTAATTGTTAAAATTAAAAAAATTTAATGATTTTATATTATTTTTTACTAAAACTATTTTGTTTTAAATTTTAAAAAATTTATTTATAATAAAAATTTACTTGGTGCTGATTAATTGTATTTGTTGTAGTAGTTGGTGTAGTTGAAGTAGTATTAGCAGAAATTGCTTGAATTACCTTTAAAAATTAATTTGAATTTTTTTAAAAATTTATTTATGATAGAAATTTACTTGGCGCTGATTAGTTGTAGTAATTGAAGTTGTATTAGCAGAGATTGCTTGAGTTACCTTTAAAAAAATTAATTTGAAATTTTTAAATAAATTTTTTAAAATTAGATGTGTTTATATATTTTTAAACTAATAAAGGCTCTAGAGTTAATGATTTTGTATTATTTTTTATACTAAAACTAGTTTGTCTTAAATTTAAAAAAATTTATTTAAAAAATTTACTTGGCGCTGATTAGTTGTAGTAGTTGAAGTTGTATTAGAAGAGATTGCTTGAGTTACCTTAAAAATTAAATTGAAATTTTTAAATAATTTTTTAAATTAGATGTGTTTATATATTTTTAAATTAATAATGGAAAACTTTACATTTGTGTTTGCCGGCAGACGGAGCTGATTATTTAAATAATTTTCTATTAGTCGTTGATCGGCAGGAATTGTTGGGCCTGGTGACGGTGTTGTAGATTCAATTATTCTGCTGCGACGTGCCGGGGGGCCGGGGCTAGATGAGGGATTTCCACGGCGTCTATTTTGATTTGTAGAGCTTGATGAATTAGTACGCGGCATAATTTAAACTTTGAAAAAGATTTTTGAATAAATAAAATAGAATTTAAAAAATTAAATTTAAAATTAATTAAACTAAGTAAAACAAAAATTTCTCAAATAAAAATGGTTAATTAAATAAGTTAATGATTTTATTTACTAAAAAATTTTATTACAAAAATAAGAATGATTTGTGGTAAATTAGGAAAGAGAAATTTTTGTTTTTACAGAGATTTAATCTAATGCTTTTCTTTCATTGGAAACCTTTTTTTTTTGGTTGGAAAAAGTTTGGAATGTAACACTCGGATGAGCGCAAGAGACATTTTTTATTAAAACGCAATAAAGCTAAAATTAATGCAAGACAGAAAAACGCAAAGATCCTTGCGCTCACCAATGACAAAAATCAAATAAAAAATTAAATAATGTAAAATTTTGTTTTTATCATTTTAAGCACCTTCTTTAACGAGGTGTTAAGGGAGTAGAACCAGCTGCCAAAATAAATCCTTGTTTTGTCGTTGTTCTTGTTGTAGCAATTTCAAACCGTTGTGGAGCTAAAGAATGATTTTAATATGAAAAATTTAGTTTATAAAAACCCCATATCAATAGTTTAATTTGGATTTATTTTTAAATTAATCCTGGTTTTTGTTCAATAAATTCTGGTTTTTTGATATATAAATTCTAGTATGTATTTTGTCTCTGATTTTTATTTAATTCTGATTTGTAAATGTTTTTATCCCACCTTAGCAACAAGCATAGAAATAGCAATCATTGCTGTTGAGAAAAACATTCCGAACATTCAGTTAATGTTAAGAGTTCCACGTCCAAAGCGGAGATGTTCAACCTTTAAAAATTTTTAATAGTAACATAAAGCTTTCCAATATTTTACCAAATAAACAGACACAGCAGTCATTAAAACATTTATAGCAACCATTGCAATTGTTGCATAAGCCCTTAAAACAAAAATTCAAAATAGTTCGTTAACAAATTTTTTTAAAAAAACTCTCACATTGTTCTTGAGACCGGTTCCCTTAAAAATACATAGCAATTGACTAAAACATTCCTAAAATATAATTTTTAAAAACAATTCCTCAAAAATCCCACCAACGTTAATTCCACTCAATTGCTGAGAAATCATCATAAACAAAACAAGTACCAAGGGCCATGGAAGTTTGGTACCATAAATGTCTTTCTTAGAGGAAGGAGCTCCAGTATAAGCTTTTGAAGCCTCTCCAGAAATTAAGTCAATTTCAGCTTGGACCTATAAATAAATCAGAATTAAATCAAAATTTTGGTTCCAAAGCTGGTTTGGTAATTAAAAATTCTGTTTTTTAAAATTATAATTTTGATTTTGCAAATTAATAAATTAAAAACAAACATCTTCACTCTCACGAAGTTTTTTCAAGTCTTTCTCTGCTTGATCTCTTTGACCTTTAACAACAATAGTGGATTCAGGAGTTTCAGAGTAGAATGTAATTGTGCACAGTTGAACAGGAACAGAAACCTTTGAAAAATAAATAAACATTAAAAAGGATTTTTGAGTGAAAAATTAATTAAATTTCCATTTAAAATAAACTTTAAGAGAAATACAGGCAGAATTATTACCGGTGTAAGCATTGGAATGGCGGCAGATTGTCCAGGAGTTCCCGACCTTTGCATTGCTGCTCTAGCACGTAATAATTCTACGCCGGGCTGTTTAAAACAAGGATCAAACTGTGCAGCATAAATACGGGCAGTGTCTCCATCATCCCTTGCTCGATCAGCAGCTTCAACGCTAGTATCAGTGCGTTCCTAAAAATATTTTTTTAATAAAAAAACATTTTTAAGGAATACTTGTGCTGTCATTGTTCTTAATGTAGCAATTTCAACACGTTGTGCAGCTAAATTTAATTTGAATATTTTTTTAATTTAAGTAAAAAACCCATATCAGCAGCTTGCCTAGCATGCTCAGCATAAATTTCTACTCGATGCCTCAATTTTGTTTAACGGACAAAAAGTATGCCTTTCCGTCTAGCTGGGCTAACAAGAGCATTGTGTTTATATCTTCCTTCTTTACTGCAAAAAATTTTTTTAGAAAATTTAAAAAACTTTAGAAAAAACGAACGTTCCGTCTCTAACCATCCCCCCAGCATAACGAAGACCGTCTGAACGTTCACAAACACCAAAACCGGAGCGCATATCATTTTTCCATTCACCTCGGTAAATTTCAACAGCGTTTGCGTCGATTGGTGCTTCTTTAATGTTGCTGCCTAAATTTTTAGAAATAAAAGTTAAACATTAATTAAATCAAAAAGGAATGACAGTACTTTAAGAGGAGCAGAATAACCTAAAAGAGCAGAAAATAGTACTAAAACTCGTGAGGAAAACTCTTAAAAACTGATTCCGCCCCTCCTTGGTAGTAGTACCAAATAGGTTTTGAATCGGAACCCACACGAAAAACTGAGGATTTTTCGGTTCGGTTTCGGATATCTAAAAATTTTCAAAGAACCGACGACCCAGTGACAAATAATCTACTCGAAAATATCTTTAAAAAATGAAACCTCAGCAGCAACTCGAGAAGTTTAGAATTTTGAGGATGCCTCAAATCACCCGAATCTTCTTCATCAGAAGTACAGCTTAAAGTACTTCCACTTGAACGAAGTGAAGAAGCGCCACCAGCAGACGAAAATACTCTTTGTTGGTGAATAAAGTCTCAAGTTGAATTTTGTTTTCTAATTCGTTGAAGAATGCCTTAAGAGTGATAAAAATTAAATAAAATTAAGGCAAGATTTTCAAACTTCTTTTCACTGCCAATGAACGCTCCGAGAGAGAACGGCGTCGTTTGTTAGTACCCGAATAAACTTTTGAAAAATTTATATCATTTTTATTTTCTGTTCCAACCTAAATTTTTTTGAAAATTTTTGAAATTAAAATTTTAAAAAAATTACAATTAAATTAAAGAAAGAGGGAAAGACAGGAATACTTTCACCTCCTTCAGCATTTTTAAATAAATTTGATAATTGCATTGAGGTTTAAGTCCTTTAATTCGAAAATCACCAGAACGTTGATCTATTAAACTTCTTCCTTAAAAAGGAAAAAAATTGATTGACATTCAGAAACAACAAAAGCAAGAAATAGTTAAATAAATTTCTCATTGTCAGCTTATTGTTAGACAGCCCGTCTCAAATGGATAAAAACAATACTTCGACTTTTAGCCATATTTTAGGGAAAACCAATAAAATTTAAAAAAACCTGATGATTCTCACATCCAACAGAAATAGCCTCAACACGAATTGGAAATTTAAAAGGCCTACTTCCAATTGTTGAAACTTTTCCAAAAGCACTATAATAAGAGTAATTAAAATTTATTTACAATTTTAAAAAACCTGTAAGCAATTCTTTTTGCTTCCAAAATTAATTCCTTTTCTTCTCCTTCATTTATTTGAACAGAAAAAGAACTCGAATTAAATTTATATTCTTGTAATATGGACGAATAAAATAAGATCCAGGCATCTTTAAAAAAATTATTTTTTTCAAAATTAATTTTTAAAAAAAATCCCAACCAATCCAATAAATTTCAAAAGTCCAGTTTCAACACCAAGGTCGTGCCGTTTCCCATTCTGTCATTAGCCAGAATTCCAGAAGGCCCAGTATAAGCGCCACAAACCTAAGAAAAATTAAAAAAAATTTTTATAAGAACACAACCTCAAATCCATAGTGCCATGCTCCAGTAAATTCTTACTGTCCATTAGGCCTGTACAAACACCAGGTCCATGTGCTTTTCTATAAAATAAAAAAAGTATTTTCCTTATAAAAAATAATTTTTACCCTTCCTCCCAACCACCACATTATGTCCCGCCATCGTCAAAATCAAAACGGCCACCGGTCATATGCTGGTTGCTGCCCACCCACCCTCCCCGAACACTACAAATTCAATGTCTAACAATTAGACATTTCAAAAAATTAGGTTTTACCCTAAAAATAATTTAGAAATCTCAATATTAAAAAAATTTTATTCTTTAAATGTTTGTTATGTAGGGCGAAAATGTGTGAAAAGCAAGCCGCTAAAGAGAAGAGCCCCGCAGTGCTAATCAATATGATTCTTTCGTTAGATGAGAGTTTCTCTTTTCAATAATACCAGTTGAGTCGCAATTTTGGGCGGGGGGTAACTCGAGTAAATCCCACTCGCGGAACAGACACGACGCGGAACGACAAGTCACCGAATTATCAACTCACGGAACGACCAAAACACGGAATATTTTATAAATCAGAATATTTTTACAAATCAGAATTTTTTACCCTCCCTCTTTTAAAATATTCTAATTTCTTTAGAAAGTCTTATTTTTTAAAAATATTCAGATTTTTTCAAAAATTCCAATTTTTAATATATTCCGTGAATTGACCTGTCCCTGATTATAACAAAGGGTTTATGTTAACTAAATAACCTATTTTAATAAAGCTTCCCTGTGGCGGAGTCGGTAGTGTCTCCGCCTTTAGGCTAAGAGTCACCGGATCGACTCCGCCACAGGGAACTTATTTTTAAAAATGGCGTTTTGGCAAATGGTGTTTTGACTTGTACCATTTTGTCACTTGCATTTTAGACAGTGACAAAAGGTTTAAGATGAGTCATCACACTTCTATTTTCCCCGCACGTTCCTTTAGGGGCGGGGCAAAATCAATCAATAAATTAATAATGATCCTAATGTAGTATTATACATACCTAAATAAAAAGTGTTTATATATAAATATTTAATGAGCTTAATAATCCGTTTATTTAATCGAAATTATCCCCAGATCTTCCAGATCCTTCCAAATGCCCCTTAATCCCTCAAATTGCTGAAATTTTAAAATTATTCAGCGCCTGATTGAAAGTTGACTCAAGGGTGGCCACTAAGTTGTTGTCCTCTTGGGAGTTGACCTGATGGAGTGATCCCGGTTTAAGTTGTTTACTTAAGTGATTTTTTGTCAATAATTCTAACATGCCTTTTAAATTTAAATTGCTTTTGCAAATTTTGATGCCATGGGTGAGATTTGGGTCGATGGCACTGTGCACAAAGTCGGCGGCCTTATCCCAAAATTAATGGGAGCAAAAAAATTAGGGGTAGAGTTTATAATCCTTCCAGCGGAAATGGAAGATGAACATAACGCGTTAACAGAAGAGCAAAAACAACAAATTATTCCAATATTTATCAGTAATTTTGAGGAAAATTTCCTTTTTTATTTCCAAATTTTGTAAAATTTGTAGTTTTACTATTATTTGTTACAGAATAATGATCCTATTAATTTTTAAATCATTTTAGTTTATGCAATTGTTAGCAAACTCATTAATACTACAATGTCTCAACTTTATTTCTTGCCTATACGTTATTTTTTGATAAATAGTTGTTCTGTTTTCCTATTTTTGCTCCTTTCTGTTTTAGTCTATTTTTTGCGTAACATTGTTTTGTTTTTGGGGTTTAACTTTTATCTCTTAAATCTTTCCGTAAAATGGAGTTGAATTTAAGTTAATATAAATTTTGATCGTATTTTTCTTATTTTTGGCCTCGGACTCATACTAAACATAGGCTTAAGTATTTACTAGAAACAAAACCTTGTAATGTACCTACTAATATAGTGTCCACTCTAGTCCAATTCCCAATAAAAAATCTTCAATTTAAATTAATTTACTTTGTTGACTGCGCGCTTATTTTTAATACTTATTGTTAGGTGACTTATAAAAATGTTTTTCCAAAATACCAAAAAAAACTTTACGGAACCCAAAGCAAACATTGAAAACATGTAATTTAGGGAAAATTTTTTCTTATAGAGCTTGGGTTTTCTATAATTTTTAAACCAGGTGTCCCGAACTTATAACACAAGGACGGAACAAGCAAACATTAAAAACCTGAAACAAATTTATGAGACACTTATTCTGCACTAGAGACTTGTCTTTTTTTAGTAATTTGTTTATAAAACTAAAAAAAGGATATCTAATTTGACACAAAAAATTTTCTCTCTCCCCATTATCTCGTATTAAAAGGATTCTATAAATATTTTACCCCATATCAAAGATGTGATTTTTGTAGGCAAATTTTTTTGTTTAAAAAATGAAAAAGAAAAATCACATCTTTAAAAAAAAAATTCTTTTGCTTATTTTACACATTATCGTGAAGTGAATGTATAAATATTTGTGTAAGTATCACTTCTATTTTATGAGATGAAAATTTAACTCGACTACTTTTTTAATGAAAAATTTTACGGAAAAATGCTTTTTAAAAAATGTTTTGTGCTCTGTATATTTTTTAATGGTGTGTGGAAAATAATTAAAATTATTTACGGTCGGACCTCGCTTTTTAGATACCTTTTTGGGGCTGAAAAAGCACCTCATATTGAGTTGTATATTAAATAGAGGTGTTGATTAAGTATCCTAAATTAATGTTATCTTAGAGGGAATCTTATAATAAGATTTTATAACGAGCTGTATCTTAAATAGGGGGTATCTTATAGTGAGGTGTCTATTAAATAGAGGGTGACAATTAGTCCGTTTTATCGCACCCAGTGGCCAACCAACCGACCCAGTGGCCAACCAAATTTTAGAAAACGTATCTTAAATTGAAGGGTATCTAAAATTGGGAGATATCTTATAACGAGGTTCTACTGTTTATGTTTGAACGGAAAAATAAAAGAAGTTTTTTAAAATTAATTTTTGTTTTTTGAAAAACATCTCACACCATTTACAAATTAAATATTTGTTCATGATAACCTTTCCAGTATTTACAAAAAAATTTATTTTAGTCGCACTATCTACTTGTAGTCGCACTTTTTCCTTCCTTTATGCTCGTAAAAATCCGGAAATTTTACTATTAATAACTTGCGGACAAAACTTGCGGATTTTTTTTATTTGCGGACTTTCTTTGGAATCTGCGGATTTTTTTAAAATTTGCAGATTTCCTTTGAAATTTGCGGACTCTTTTTTTTAACTTGCAGACTTTTCATAAATTTGCGGATTTTTAGGAGGATAAAGGAAAGTAACCCCTGACTTTTCTTTTACCGATGTTTAATTTCATTAAAAATTTACTGGAATAAAATTGACACCTTTGCATGTTTTTTTGATTATTTTAAATTAGATTAGAAAAATCTGTTGATTATTTTTAAACAATTTTTTGAATTTTCTTTTCTAATTAATAGCCCTTGTCAACAATTAAATATGACAGCAATACCTTCAACAATTTATAGGGCTCTATGTCGTCTTGGGGACAAAGTTGGTTTTGTTTTTTTTGTTAGATTTTCTGCGGTGAGGTGTGTCTAATCCAATTCTAGGTTTACGAACCTTGTCTCAAGGTTTTAACGTCAATAGTGTTTAAACCTCTAAGTTCGGAGATAAATAGTAAAATAGTCCATCGAGGAGGTTCTGCCCCTGACGGTTAAATGACCCTAAAAGTCAACTCCAAATATTTGGGCTGATAAAAGGAACTCAAGATAAGGAATGCCTTGGCTCCCTCCCTTTTAAATACCCTTCTAAGCGAGTCTCCTTAATCCAAATAAATCCATTTTAATCCTAAATATATGGAGTTGACCTTTAGGGTCATTTAACTTTTTGGGGTAGACCCTTCATCGAGGTGCGTTTAATTCTGGGGGGATATCTTGATTTTGAAGTTAGGCTAAGCAAATATTTTTCCTTATCATTTATTATTTCAGCTAGTTTATCCAATTTTGCCCAGCTTTGCCAAGCCAGCATGGAATCATCCTGCTGGACCCAAAACAGTTTTCTTTTGGTCTCCAACAATTAAATGGGTACTTGTAGGTGCTGGAATATCTGATTTGACTAGACCTGCCTCGAAATTGAGTACTAATCAGGTTTGGAATTTTTAGATTTTTGAAGGGTTTAAGCCCCAATAAAATTGTATTTTAGAATTTTTGTGGTTTTTAAGGTTAGGGTAAAGTTCCTTGACGTTTTTGGGGGATAGAAGCCTTCGCGTAATTGAATTGGACCATCCGTTAACTTATCCGTATTAATTTTGGACACATAGGAGGAGTTTTTTGAAATTCTTGGAAATTGACTGAAATTAATATGAATAAGTTGAGTTGGCCAAGCCAGTTTCCCGAAGGTTCCAAATAGGGATCTAGATGGCCCGAATCTCGGAAATTAGGAGTTTCCTTTTTGTTTTTGGGGTGGGAATCGTGATACCTGAAATTTGGAATTTATTTTTTATGTCGGCTAGGTCCATGCCCCATTAAGGAACCCAACTCCAATCCTAAAAACCGCAGAAACTAAAACACGCTTTTATGGGCTGCATAAACTGGACTAAAACCTTTTTTTAAAAAATTTTCCATTTAAATTAGAATGCCTCATTAGCCGCAACTGGCGCTGTCTGGACACGTTATTGTTTTGTAATTGTTCCAAAAAATTATTATTTGGCTAGTGTAAACTTTTTTGTTTTTTGCACGGGAATGGGTATTTTTAAAAAATTTTAAAAATTTCAAAAAAAATTTTGCAGTTCAAATACTTCGTATTGGACATTATCGGTATATAATACAACCAAAATTAGAAGAAAATGAAGAGTTGAAGAAAGTTTCAAATTAAAAGGTTTAGAACAAATATAGCTAGCATTCACTATAAGACACCCCCTAGGGATTGAAAAAAGAGTGCCTTATAATGGGGGTTTGTTAAATTGGGGGTATCGCTTAGACACCCAGTAGCTAACTAAAAAATGGAGGTATTTTATAGTGAAGTTCGAGATTTTATAAATAAAGAATATTTATTTTAGATTTTATATATTTTTTGTAGACTTTGTTTATTATACAAATGTTGTGATTATATATTTGTTTATGAATGTTAATTTAGTCGCGGAAAAGGGACTGTGAGGAACAGGGATGGATGCAATCACCCTAAAATTTGAGTGTTTTTTTTGGCTTGCGGATTGCGTTAACGGATTTTATAATTGAAATTGCGGCTACGGAAATTTTTTTTCACTTGCGTCCATCCCTGCTGATGATGTGAGGAAGTGCCCAAAGGTCGGGATTTTGAGGCAAAAAACTTTGTTTTTAATCATTCTCCCTTTTGGATATGCCCTCTTCAAAATTAAATAATGTTCGCCAAAATTTAATGACTAGAAGAAATAAATTTATTCAAGAGATTCTAAAAGTTTAAGGATTAACCAGAAAATTTCGTAAATGAAGATTTCCAGCCATTTTTTGAGATTTTACTGTCATAAAAATAATTTTAAAAACAAATTATTGAAAAATCGGGTGAGAAATATCCTTCTGGACCATACAGCTATTGGTCTTGATTAGCTCTATAAATTATATGCCTAAAAATTTTATTCTAAAAATTTTTGTTCTAAGCGAAATGGACGGTATTTTATACTAGTTGGGTGGACGTTATTTTGATCGGACGGTGAATTGACCTGACTAGAGAGAATCCCGAATTTCAAAATCCCGAAAATAAAAATCCGGGATTTCGGGATCGCGGAAAATCCCGTCCCGCGCCGGTCTCTAGACCTAACACGAAAAAATCATCAGCCTAAAATACTCAAAAACTCATTAAAAAGCTCGAAAAATTTTTTTCATTATTTATAATAAATTTTTAAAAGGCGTAACAATAATTAAAATTGTTTAAAAAAATAAACTAAACAAAACAAAATAAATATTCCCTTCTATTTCCCATGCATTTTCTGTGCTGTAGCTGCCAAACTTTGCTGTTGTTGTTGCTGTGCTTTGTCGTCCTGTTGAGTCATTTGCATAAGCAATTTTCCCAGTCGATCGTGAACATCCAAATATTTGGCTAAACAACGGTCGAGACAGACTGCTTCGCCTTTAAAAAAATTTTTTTAGAAAGATTTTTACTTTAGGGAGTTTTGGGGTCGTTTGTTTTTTGTTTGTTCCAATGGTCCCCTTAAATGTAAATTGGATGGAAGAAACTGAAACTATCCGAGCAAGCAATGGAAAGAATGGATGGTCCCAGACTTTATAACGGATAGTCCCAAGTAGGGTTGTCGGTTTAACCAAATTCTTCGGTTCAAAAATATTCAGTTTTTCTCGATTTGGAACCGACAACCCAAGTCCAAAGCTCAAAAGACGTTACGGAATTCGAAAGCACAACAAAACAGGGCTGCACGCAATCGAAAAGATTCCGCAACTGTCAATCCGCAGTTGCGTGCAGCCCTGCAACAAAACTCAGGAATAGTAAATAAAATTAAAAAATGAGCCCCTTAAATGGGGTCCATAAAAAAGCTTTGAAACCCCAGAAAATAAATTTATTAAAAAAACCTTTCAAAAGTTCAGATTCTCGATACGAAGTATTTATACATTTTGATTGACAACTTTGAGTCATTCTTCTATATGTGTCTGTCATCATTTCAATTTCCAAATCGGCAACTGCTTGTAAAGCTTGTGCTTGAGGAGAATTTTTGTTGTTGCTGGCCATTTTGATGATAAATTTAAATTGAAAGAATTTCTTGGAATATTCTTAAAAAACAAAGGGTTTTTAAAAGAAAAAAAACAATTTTTAAATTAATTGAACTTGGAAATTATTAAAAATTAATTAAGAAAATTTTAGCTGAAATTTTCACCAATCTAAAAGACTGTGACGAAATGGTCAATTTTCTTCTGTGTGACAAAATGGTCAATTTTCTCCTGTGTGACGAAATGGTCAATTTTCTCCTGTGTGACGAAATGGTCAATTTTCTCCTGTGTGACGAAATGGTCAATTTTCTCCTGTGTGACGAAATGTGTTTTTTACTGAAAATTTTCGTGTCCGGACAAAATATCGAATCGTTAAAATATGGAATAGGCTAAAAAAGGGTTAAAATCTCGAATCGGGTAAAATGGGTTAAAATCGCGAATAGGCTAAAAAGGGGTTAAAATACCGAATCGTTAAAATATGGAATGGTTAAAATATCGAATCGGGTAAAAAAGGGTTAAAACATCGAATCGTCAAAATATCGAATTGATAAAATGTCGACACGGCCAAAATAAGTCAAAATGTCGAATTATTTTAAAAATTGTGCTAAAAACTAGAACCCGGACGGTACCGTAATAACGACGGTATTTTTCGGTATTTATCAGTATTCCATATCGGTAGTACGGGCGGAATACTGACCGATAAAATTTAAAAGGTGAATCGTTTTTTTCGGTATTCCGTACCGTGGTACGGTACAGGTACAAAATTCCGGCCTTTACTAAATACTAGGCACGCACTCTAATTTTTCCGGATCAAGAAATCGCGTTGTCTTCCGGATCCGCACGATCATGCCGGACCGGATCCGGTCGATTTTCTTGATTTATCCGGTCCGGTTTTACTCGGTAAAATACACTGAACTCAGGCAGAAAAGATTAGCCGGACTAGACACCCAACTTTTCAACCAACTTATCAGCAGTAAGTTGATAAGTTGATAAAATTATCATCAATCAACGTATGGCACTCATCTGACCCTTTTTTAAAGGAATTCGACATTTTGACCCATTTTGGCCGTGTCGACATTTTATCAATTCGATATTTTGACGATTCGATATTTTAACCCTTTTTTACCCGATCGATATTTTAACCATTCCATATTTAACGATTCGGTATTTTAACCCCTTTTTAGCCTATTCGCGATTTTAACCATTCCATATTTTAACGATTCGGTATTTTGTACCGGAGCCAAAATTTTCTTTTTAAGTCCTTTTATGGTCTTGTTTGAATTTCTTAATCTTATTTAGACCATTAGAAACCTGAAACAGGACCTACATTTATTTCTCAATTTTTCCTTCAGTCATTTTATCTTTATTTCAAAAATCACAAAGCCAAAAACACATTTTTTACCCATTTTTTCGATTTTTGGGCGCGCTTGGGTTTGCAAAGAAATTTTATTTTTGTGTTTTGGGGGTTAGCACGGACTATGTGTAGAAAACTATGTGTAAAAAAAAATGTGTAGCACTAACATTCCCTCAAATTTATTGTTCACCATCCAAAGAACGCGGGCTCTGTTTCATTTAAAATTTGCTATAAAGCCAACTACTTTTCTGTTTGGGGGAATGACCAAACTATTTATTTGTGTTTTATTCATTTGTTTAACGTTTTCGCAGAAGGGAAATCGTTAGAAATATTTAATAAGAAAGGATTTTTCCTTCCCAAAAATGAGAAAATTTGTTTGGAATTTTTTTTTTAAATTTTTTGTGACCCCCAAAGTTGGGTAGGGGAGAGGCAAAACACCGTCCGGCTAATTCAACGTCCTGAGGATTGATTTAAGCGAAATGGGCATTATTTTCTCTAATGGACGGTATTTTTACTTTAGTTAAGCTGGACGCTGTTTTGTCCTGAGCCACTTTGCCCACAACGGAAAAATGACCTTTTTGGTTAAGTGGGAAAATTCCTGGATTCATAGTCAGAGGTTCGAATCCCCGTAAGGAAAATAATTTTATTTGAATGCATAACAGCGTTTATATTCACTTATATTAGTTTTTGGACGTGTTTGAGTTTGTAAAGAAATTATTTTGGGAAACTTTTCGCAGAAATTCGTCGACAGACTTTTCACCGACAGGAAATTCGGTGAAAAGTACGTCGGCGAATTGTTCCCCAATTTTTATCAATTTAATTATTTTTCTAAATTTTAGATTTAACAAGAACCAAGAATGGGCCCAGAATTTAACCATACTACTACTAATGGTAACACTACTCAACAACTAAGCGATCAACGGTACGTAATTAAAAGGGATGGGCGTCATGAAGCAGTACATCCAGGCAAAATTTTTTCTCGCGTTGCAAAGCTATGTTATGGACTTGATATGTGCTATATTAATCCGGTTAGAACTTTTGAGTATTTTTACTACGTAGGGAGAAGTCCAAGTTGTCCGCAGTTGAAGAAAATTGGCTTGGGGCCAAATAAGGGGAAAATTGGCTGAGGTCCAAATTGAAGGACTCAAGCTTCAAGCTTGAGTATACATGGGAAAAGTCCGCAAGTGGAAAAGTCCGCAAGTTTTGTCCGCAAATCGAGTAAAATTGACTTGGAGCCCACTTTGAGGAAAATTAGCTGAGGGAAAAAGGAGGAAGTATAGTAACGAACGCTTTGAGCCCTACAACATTATGAAGCAGTACATCCAGGAAACGGTGAGGCTGACAATTATGTGAGGTGAGGCATCCAATTATGTTGCGGACAAAACTTGCGGGCAATTTTTAGAATTTGGATAAAGTCAATTCCTGTTTATCCATTTTTAAAATAATTTTGGCTACCACGAGCCAAGGGCCCTACTTATTGTTAAGCTTTCAATAAACCCTTGGGACTGAAGGAAGGTGCTATCCTTCTCCAAAAATGTAATTTAATCTGACCTCATTTCAAAGGATTTGATCACAGAAAAGGCGTCCAGAGGCATTTATACTGGAGTAACAACTGTTGAATTGGATAATTTGGCGGCTGAAGTGGCTGCTTCAAATACTACAGTTCACCCAGATTATGCTTTGCTTGCTGCCAGAATTGCTGTTTCAAATCTGCACAAAGAAACGAAAAAGGTTTTTAAATTTTAAAGAAATTTTGGAAAATTTTGGGGAGAGTTTCTGGCAGGTTTCCTGGGTTTTTATCAAGAGAAAACATGGATTCCTCTCCTTATGTTCACAAAAGTCCGCAAGTTTTGTCCGCAAGTTGTACTATGATTTGCGGACAAAACTTGCGGATTTTTATAGAAATACTGATTATTCCTTTAGGTTTTCTCAGACGTGGTCAGTGATCTCTACCATCATAAACACTCAAAAAACGGAGAACATTTGCCGTTGGTTAGCGAAGAGCTTTACAAAACTGTTACTGCAAATAAAGAGGTTTTTTATTTAAATTTTTCGGAGTCTTCCTTTACAAAAAGAAATAAAAAGGGGTTGTTAAATATGTACAAGGTTCGCTTTGGATGTGTTTAAGACTTTGGTAATCTCCTTTGATCCAGAGTCAAGGAATTATCAGGGTTTCTTGATTTTTTACTTGACTCATGGTCAAGGATCTGGTCGCATTTTTTAGTTTCCTATCTAGTAACCTGTAAACTGGTTCCTATCTCTCTTTTTCAAATCGAATTTCGTACCGAAAAAGTCCAGATTTAGGGTTTCTTGTCAGTTAGAGAGATTAAGGAGGGGGAAAAGGTGACTCGGTTTTTGAAAAATTTCTGGGGTCAAGTTCGGATTTAGGGTCGAGAAAAGGTCCGGATTTCGGATATCGATTAACCATTGACATCCCTAGTATGCATATGTTCTACAATTTATTTATTTTCAGAAACTCAATTCAGTAATTATTTATGATCGTGATTTTCACTACACTTATTTTGGCTTTAAAACACTTGAACGATCTTACCTTTTGCGAATCAATGGAAAAGTAGTTGAGAGGCCACAGCATATGTTGATGCGTGTTGCTGTTGGAATACACAAAACTGACATTGAGGCTGCAATAAATGTTTATTTTTTAAGTTATTTTTATGGAGGATTTTGGGGGTCCGGAATTTTGGTCTTTGGATTTTTTTTGGAAACTTTGGTTTCCAAATTCTCAAATCGTTTATCCCATCGGTGTTTTTTCATGTCCTTTCCATTCTGTGGGACAGAGACCAAATTTCTAAAATTTGGAGATAAAAAATTCAGGGATTCGTTGGGGCTCTCATACCCGTTCCTGTTTGAGAGAGCTGTCAAGACCTACAATTATTTTAAAGTTTTTGGTCCTTGTAGGTAGTATTGAAGCTCGGAAAATTTTTCGGTTTTCGAACAGCTCTAGGCAATAAATTCTGAAAAATATTTATTTTTTAAAGACTTACAATCTCATGGGCGAGCGTTGGTTTACTCACGCCTCTCCAACTTTATTCAACGCGGGTACAAAACGTCCACAACTTTCTTCTTGTTTTTTGCTTTCAATGGTTGGTGATTCAATTGAAGGAATTTTTGAAACAATAAATCGTTGTGCTTATATCTCAAAATCGGCTGGAGGAATTGGGCTTTCCATTCATTCAATTCGTGCTTCGGGTTCTTTGATCTCTGGAACAAATGGAAATTCGAATGGAATTATTCCAATGTTGCAAGTTTTTAATTCTGTGGCGCGTTATATTGATCAGGGAGGGAATAAGGTTAGTAAAAAAAGAATAGAGGGTATGATTAGGGTTGCCGTTTTTGAGTCGGGCCGCCGGTCGAGTCATTTTTTCGAGCCTTGTTTTTATCGAGTCTGGACGTACGAGTCTTTTTCGGGCCAAATAGTGTAGGCTCAGCTCATCTTTAGGTCAGAGTCGCTCCATTTTGACAACCCTAGTGGTGATTATAGTCGGATCTCGCTATAAGAGTCGGATCTCGCTCAATACTAGGCACACAATTTAGGATACGCTATTGGGAGGTGAGGATATGCTATTGGGTTGTCTATCGGGAGGTAAGGCTGTCTGAGAGATACCTTCCTTCTATTTTGAGATATATCTCAACATATGATACAATTTTTGGCCCAAATTGTGTACCTTTTAGTGGGGCCCTACTTGTTTTACGTCTGAAAATCAACTGGAGGAATTAGACTTTCCATTCATGCATTGTTTTGAATGAAGAAAGTCAAACTCCTCCAGTTGATTCAGGACATCACTCTCTTTCTAAATTGCAGGAAAAATTTTTTTCTGAAAGCTAAACTGGGTTAAATTTATTTTTAAATGGGTAGAAGGGAGTAGAGAGAGCTTAAGTCTGTTTTGAAATTAATCCTTTAAACAAGAAATTTAATGGAATGAAGGAAGGAGTATATGATTTATCTTCCTTTATAAGAGTTGTTTTTTGTGTTAGCTAAAGCCTGGTTCCAACTGGCAACAAAAATAACTTTTGACCCCGCCCACTTCCCGCTTTGAAGTTTTTTTTATTGTGGTGAATCAAAACACACTGCCTGTTAAATAGAAAAAGGATGAAGGAAGAAGATTGGTAGGGGGAAGAGGAAGTGTGTGGAAAGAATGGGGGGGGGGGGGAAGAGGTTGGAAGGGGAGAGGGTGTAGTGTTTATTGTTGCAAAAAATTGACAAAGAATGTTATTTTTTGCGGACATTTTTTGCGGATTTTACTTTTGTTTTTTCTTTAGGTTTTTAGTGGACTGGAAAGTTAAAACAAAAAAAAACATTTCAGATAGTATTTTTTTAACTGGCCAGTATATACTATTCAAATAGATTTTTTTATTGATTACAATTTTTTAGTTGTGAAGAAGTTCCAAAATTTTGTCCGCAAATTTTGTCCGCAAATTTTTTTGTCCACAATTTTTGTTATCCAACTTTGTGTCCGCAAAAATTGTCTGCAAAAATATAATCTTCTTTACAAATGGCAAAATAAATTTTTTAACAAATGAAAACAGAATACTACCTTCAAAAAATAATATATTTTTTATTAAGCGTCCCGGTGCTTATGCAATTTACTTGGAGCCTTGGCATGCAGATATTGAGGATTTCTTAAAGTTGCGTCTCAACACTGGTGCGGAAGAGCACAAAGCAAGGGATTTGTTTTATGGACTTTGGATTCCGGATCTGTAAGAAAATTTTGAATATTTTTTTAATTTAATTTTTTTTTAGTTTTATGAAGCGCGTGAGAGATGATGACATTTGGTCTTTAATGTGTCCGAATGAGTGCCCTAACTTGGATGAGTGTTGGGGAGAGGAATTTGAACAGCTTTATCAAAGGTTTTTATTTTGTTAGAGGAGACTGTGTGTTTTCCTTTATGTTTCTAAATGCCCGCAAGTTTTGTCCGCAAATATTTTATTTTATAAATGCCGACTTGTTAACTCCTCGGGTTTGGAACAACCTTCTCCGTTGATAGGTTGAAAATCCTATATGGTGTTTGAGGTAATACTTGGCGGAATCTGTCGTAACTTTTCTAGACGTCCCGTCGAGATTATTCTGGTTTGCTGATAAAACTTGCGGATTTTTGGGAGCACACATGGAAGAAAAACCACAACGATTCCTTTCTCATTATTCAATTCTTTCACCAGATATGAAGAAGAAAAGCGTTACAAACGTCAAATAAAGGCACGTGAACTTTGGAGTCGCATAATCACCGCTCAAATAGAAACTGGAATTCCTTATATGGTCTACAAAGATGCTTGTAATAGTAAATCAAACCAAAAAAATTTGGGAACAATTAAATGCTCAAACCTTTGTACTGAAATTGTGGAATATACTTCGCCTGAAGAAGTTTCTGTCTGCAATTTGGCTTCGATTGCGTTGCCGCGTTTTGTGGTAGTTGATGATGGTGGTTTGGAACAAAATGGAGTGGGAGAGGTTTGAACTTAAATTTTATGAAGTTGTGTGCAAGTTTATGCGTCCGAGGGTTTTCTTTGGGGCTTCAATTTTATGAACTTTTGTTTTATGAGTCCAATGTCTTATTTGGGGCTTCAAATTTGGGCTTAGGGTAGGTACTTTATGGACATGCACCGACCCCTAGTCTGAATCTCAAAGTTGTTCTTTGAGATGCTTAAATTTTAGAAGTCCGGTTTATTGAACCTCATTTCCAGGTTGGATTTTTTTTTGTTTTTCAAAATTAGGTCAGTATGTGGTTAGAGGTTTTTCATATCCAGAACCGAAAAAAGCCCGCTCAAATATTTTCTTTCGGATATATGTTTCGGATCCTGATATCAGCAGATCTCCCAGGAATCACAAACACTAGCTTACTGGATAAGGAACGTTCCAAACTCAACATTGAAACCCAAAGATTTTTAATTTAATTTTTAAAGGGAAGGACATCAGCACCAAATACACCACCAAGAAACTGCAGAAAAAGACCAGCATGCGCTTTGGAAGAATCTAATGGAAATTCTACTTTAGCTAGACAATCGCCACCATCATTACAACAAAAATTCAAATTTGATTTTGAACGTCTTAAAAACGTCACAAAAGTTATAACAAAAAATTTGAACAAAATAATTGATATAAATTATTATCCTGTTCCACAAGCTGAACGTTCAAATCTTCGACATCGACCAATTGGAATTGGTGTACAGGTTTGAGTTTTATTTTTTTTGTCTAATAGTGTCGTTTAAGAAGGCCCATTTTCTTCTATTTTAATTTACTTTTTGGTATTTATTTAGGATTGGTTGCAATTAGGGTTGTTGACGGTCTGTTTGACTGGGCGGAACAGATAGAAAATAATAAGGACATTTGAGCTACCACAGGGAAAGTTGACCCCAGTTGAAATCCAAAGAGACCCTCTAACAGATATAGGTTTTGACATGAGACCTTCTTTGGGCTTATTATTTGAAGCTGGGAAAGCTTATTTAAACTCACTGGGCATACATAAGAACTTGCTGATTTTTAAAATAAAATTTTTTTTATTAATTTCTAAGGGTCTGGCCGATGCTTTTATTTTGATGCGTTTTCCTTTTGTTAGCGATCAAGCCAAAGAGTTAAACAAACAAATTTTTGAAACAATCTACTATGGTGCATTGGAGGCTTCTTGCGAGTTGGCTGAACAATTTGGACCATATGAGACTTATAAAGGTTCTCCAGTTGAGAAAGGCATTTTGCAGTTTGATATGGTTTGTAAATTAATTTAGGGGCGTAGTTGTAAATAAGAGTTGGACTTTTTTAGCGAATAAATTTTTGAGGATTTTAATTTTCTCTCTTTGTTTTTTGCTAGAAGTATGTACCAGGGTCGGGTTATTTCCGATCCTTCAAATTTCACAATTCTGACCTTTCCACGTTTTGTCTTCCGATTTTAAAATGCAATATAAAATTAAATTATCGATTTTCGTGAATCAGAATACAGGGGATCAGGGACATTTCGGAACTCAGGGCATTTGTTAGAATAAAACAAAAAAATGTATTTTCGACTGTCCAGTCTATTTTTGGGTAGTTTTCTTTAACATCCAACAATCAAAATCAATCAAAAATTTACATTAATTTATCTTTTCCTAGTCCGCAAAAATAATCCGCAAAAATACCAAATATTCTTTTTGGGTCTTAAGTAAAACTTAAAAAAATTTTTTTATCTCAGTGGAATGTAACGCCAACTAATTTATGGGATTGGGATGCTTTGAGAAAAAGAATTGCAACATTTGGTGTTCGCAACAGTCTTTTAATTGCTCCAATGCCTACAGCTTCAACAGCACAAATTCTTGGTAACAACGAATCTATTGAGCCTTACACATCGAATATTTATTGTCGACGAGTTCTTTCTGGCGATTTTCAAGTTTGTTTGTTCTAATTAAATTTTTTGGTCCTTTATTGACTTTCCGATCCTTTAAGTATCAAGGGCGTAGCCAGGGGGGCTTTTGAGGCTAAAGCCCCCCCTCCCCGAAATGCGGAAAAGGGAAAAATGTGAGGAGGGGTTGGGCCCCCTTGAAATCGACCCCCTAGCTACGCCCTTGTTAAGTATACTGGAGTCTCTCGATCATAAAAAATCCATGGGCAAAATAAAAAAAAGATACTAAATTCCATTTTTTGAGTAAATCACAAGAAATATTACTTAAATTATTTTTTTGTGGCAAATCAAACATGTAGGAATTTTTAAAATCTTCATCTCATATAAGGCCACAATGATGAATATATCCAGATTTTTTGAGTATCCAGAAGGTGTAGTAAACACCAAAGGTTCTGTTCCCCTTCCATTATAGCCCCTGAAACCTGACCTCTGGTTATACCTCCGAAACCCTCCATTAAAAATTTCATTTAAAAAATTTAAGGTTGTCAACCCTCATTTAATGCGCGATTTAATCCAACTCGGTCTGTGGGATGACCAAATGAAGAATCGTTTAATATCTGATGGAGGTTCTGTCCAAAATATTGTTGGATTGCCAGAAGATATCAAAGCTTTATACAAAACTGTTTGGGAAATTCCACAACGTGAAATTATCAAAATGGCAGTTGATCGAGCTCCTTTTATCGACCAAAGTCAATCTTTAAATTTACATATTGCTGATCCAACATATGCAAAAATTACCTCAATGCATTTCTTTGCTTGGGAAAATGGTTTGAAGACAGGGATGTATTATTTGCGCACACGGCCAGCTGTAAACGCCATTCAATTTACGGTCAATAAATTAGCTTTGAAAGAATCTTCATCAACTACTACAACAATAAGTTTGGAGGAAGAAATGTCGGATACTTTAGAAGAAGGGGAAACAACAATGATTGTAACAACAAAGGGAGTTGTAAAAGAACAAGTTCGACGTCAAGTTTTTGATGATAAACTTAATAAACAAAAAGAACAAGAAGGAGGAAAAGAAGAGGGAGGTTGTGGAGGAGGAGAACCGGAATGTTTAATGTGTTCTGGTTAGAAAAAAAGTGTGGAGAAGAGCGATCAGAGCTGAACGGAAAAAATATATGCTGTATTGTTTCTAGTACAAGCCCTGGGCTTTTATTTTTCAATACCCCTTATTGGGTGGGCTTCTAATAGGGCATGGGCTTTTACTGGGGCTTGGGCTTTTATTTTTCAATACCCCTAATTGAGTGAGCTTCTACTAGGGCTTGAGCTTTTATTTTTCAATACCCCTCATTGGGTGGGCTTCTATTGGAGATGGGCTTCTATTAGACAATACGGTAAATTTGATTTCGTTTCGTCTCGTGAAAATTGAGATTTATTTTCTCATTTCGTTGAGAGTTAAATTTTATTATTTTCGTTCAGCTCTGAGGGGTAGTGGATTTTAATTGTTTTGTAAGTGCTTGAATATTGTTGACAACAAACATTTGGTGTTGTAATTTATTTACGTATCTTTGATATTTTGCAAAACTTATTATTAACTGGCACGCCTCATTATATTCTCTCGCCTGTTTCTATTTATTTACCATTGAATTTATTTTTGGCTATTTATTAATTTTTGTTCTCTTTAACTTCTTTTTTTACTCAATAAAAAGTTTTTCGTTGTTTTTAAAATCTTGACCGTTATAGTAGCAAAGTTTTGGGCAATTAAGATGATTTTTTGAGATAGAATCGTATTTTATGACAAGTATCTTTTATAGGGATATCGTTGGATTATCTTACAGTGAGATTCGACTATTTTGTGGTGGAGGTATACTAAATAGGAGGGTAATAAGAGGGTATCACTCCAAACCAGAGGTGGGTCGGAACAGTCAGAGGTGTCGGAAATCGGAACTGGCTCAAAAGTCGGAAATCGGAAATCAAAATTTTTTCCGAAATCGGAATTCCGACCCAACTCTGCTCCAAAGCAATGGCCAATCAAAAAAAACTTCCTTACATTTGGATGTATCTAGTATTGAAGGTGTCATAAGGGTGGGTCCGATTGGATTAATTCATACACATAATTTGGAAATTTACAAATTAATTTCCACCCTCTCCCAAATTTTAAAACAGGTTTATGTTGGTCCTGCCGATATAAAAATAAATTACCATTTAGGGAATCGGGACGGCAGGATCCAAACAGCCCATAATCTTTAAAAAAATATAAAAGCAAAAATGTTTAATTATAAAATCGAAAGCTAAAATGTATGAGAAAAAAAAAACAAAATTTTAGGGAATAGAATGAAAAGAAAATTAAGCAGATGATTAAGCCTATACACGTATAAATTTTAGAGTAAACTCTCACTAGAATACAAAAAAAAGTAATTCAAAATCATCGCAAAATACAAACCGGAAAACTAAAAATAAATAACCGGCTTATTGATGAATGTCATTTCCTACTTACCTCCTACTAACCCATGTCCTACCTCTTATTTAAGAACCCCGGATTATAAGATACCCTCATTATAAGACACCCTTCACTATAAGATATCCTTAATTATAAGATACCCTCATTATAAGATACCCTCTATTTAAGACACACTTCATTATAAGATACCCCGGATTATAAGGTACCCTCATTATAAGATATCCCTCTATTTAAGACACTTCACTATAAAATATCCCTTTATAAGATACCCTCATTACAAGTACTTCATTAAAGATATCCCTCTATAAGATACCCTCTATTTAAGACACCCTTCACTATAAGGTAAAATTTCTAACATCGAAGGGTACCTAAAAATGATGTTCAACTGTAATAAATCCCACTCCAAAAATATTTAAAATATGAGGAAATGACATTCAAAAACAAAAATGTTGTTTTAGCTACTTTCCAAGTGCTTACAATTTTTTTTTGATTTTAAAACCAGAAAAAGATTTATTAATTAATTTTTGACTAGAAGGCATTGAAAGCACCCGGAAAACTGAGAGAAAAAATTAAAGCTTTTCAGAATTTAAAATACATTATTTAAATAAATTCTCTCAAATAAATGTGTTCGGAACATTAATGTTGCTACTAAAGAGAAAAATGCAGAAAGAGCTCCTAATGTATATGTAATCATTAAAGAATAACCACTAGTTCTTTCATCTTCTGCTACCGATATTTTTGACCCATATTTATCTAGTAAATCTAATATTACTCCATTTGTCCATCCAAAACCTTTCTATAAAATGAAAATTTTTTTCAGGTAATAGGGTAGTGAATTCCGGATCTGAAAAAGTTAGGATATCCGGATATTTTCGGGTCTAATACTGGTTCCGAATATCCAGGACCACCCTCCAATCCTAACCATAGACTTTTTAGATGGCCCTTTTATTTGACGGAAAGTTTGTTAGCAGGGATGTGAGTACGAATGGGTTTAAACCGATCACTAGGTTTTACCGATCTCTAACTAACCGATTATCTGTTAGACTAACCGAGTTTAAAAGAAAAAAGAAGATAAATCAGTTTAGAAAGCAACCTAGACCCATTGCTTCCACAACGAGGCGTGCCACGCTTCTAGGTACCAGACCTGGTCACGGATACTGACTTAGGTATCCGTATCCTGATATTTACGGGGATACAGGCGGATATCCGCAGGCATTTTGGTATTATCTGTATCCATGACCAAGTCTGTTAGGTACTATTGGAAGGTCAGAGGAGTAAAAAATCAACCGATCGATTTGGTGAAATGGCTAGACCGTTTAAACACAAATCAACGTTAAAAAAGTTAAAATTACTTGAACTTCATATTCCCCACCACCCCCAGCACCACATTCCTCAGTTAATAAAGAAGCATTATATTTTTCAAACATTGCATAAGTTGTGACCTTTAAATATTTTTTTATAATTTAAAATTTCTTAATTTACATAAGATTTATAATTAACAATTAGCCATTGTGTTGCCATATTTTCGGCAGCCTTCATTAACATTTGATCACCGCTGGTACGAAAGCCTTCAATTATCTATAAAAAATTATATTAAAAAATTTTTTTCCCAATCAATTTGTTTTGTAATTTCGTTAAGAAAGTCAAGATTAAATTTAATCAGAATTTATTTTAACCTTTTTTAAATAAAAAGGTCAATATTTTCGTGTTTTTTCCAATTCCTTTTAACTTTTATATTCCAAGTTTAAAGCTTAAAGGTTTTTATAGTTTTGTGAGCGTCAAATTTATCAAAACCAAAATTAGGGTTCAAAATGTCCAATCCCTAATTTTCCAGTTTAGCATTAAAAAATAGAGTTTATTCAGTTATGCTCACAAAGTCCGTAAGTTTTATCCGCAAATCATATTTTTATTATTTTTCAATTTTCTTAAAAGGTTAACCTAAAATTTGGGTCAAAATGTCCATTTACGTGTGCGAGTCTTTTAAGAGAGAAAACGCAAACGTAGAAGAGTCGATGAATTTATGGGTATTTTTTTTTGTTTTATGCTACCAAAATAATTAAATTATGTTTCTATTTATTTAATATCATTTAAGAAAATAGAAAAATAAAAATAGTATGATTTGCGGACAAAACTTGCGGATTTTGAAATCAAAAACCGAAAAGAACTCCAGAAAAATAAAAATTATTATTTACCATATGCACCATTGGAGGCCAAGCATTTTCTTTATCCCATTGCTGAACACTACTCATAGCTAATGATGTAGGTATTCCTTTTGTAAAGTTTAACACTCCCTCTCTCTTAAATAAAAAATTTAATTTTATTTATTTAAAATTCAAAAAAAACCTTCAAATAATCATATATTCTAAAAGGAGTTGTTTCATCTTCATCATCAAAACATTTTGCATATAAAGGTAAAGCATTAGAAACATAATATGTTGCTGAATGTGCTGATCTTTCCAAATCAAAATCGTACCTAAAATTAAAAGTAAAGAAAAGGTCTACTCCAGAATTTTTTCATGGGTGAAATAAAGGAAATAGAGGGAAAGAAAAAAGGGAGAATACCAAACAACATTATTGTACGTAATTAAAAAAACTTTTCCGTTTATTTATATTTCCAAATATTTCCGAAATGCCGTAAGGGAAAATTGATTAATTTTAATTCAATTTAAAAAAGAATTGTAGTAGTATATCGACAAATCTACTCACAACCTTCCATATCGACCAATATCCTCCTTAACCCCAACAAATCCCCTGAGTAAATACTCTGAAACCCATCCTAACTCCTCAATTCATCTTAATCCCTCCTTTTGAAGATTCCGATGCATGAGTTTAAAGACTAGGGTTGCCGTTTTCGAGCCGGGCCGAATATTTCCGAACCATTTCTTTCAGGCTTGTTTTTATAGAGTCATGCTGGTACGAGTCACTTTCGGGTCAAATATCTTTGGCCCTACGCGATCTTTCGGTCCGAGTCGGTCGATTTTGGCAACCTTATTAAAGACGATTCCCATTTTTTAATTTGGAGTTTATCGCCCGTATCTAAACTCTATTTTCTTAGCTTAAAATTATCCCCCAGCCCCCGATCGAAAAAATAAACAAAAAAACAAACCAAATTCCATCTGTTTCATTCCAATGAAGTGTTTTCATTGCCAATTTCATTTTTTGATAACGAGCATAATATTCATTTTTTCGTTTAAAATCACCAAAAATTTCATAAAAAGAAGCCAAAATCCTCATATTAATGCACATAAAAGCATTTAAATCTACTGGAACTATTGATAGAGTTCTTATTGACTTGAAATCGTGCATGCTTGGCCCTTCTTGAGCAAACCATCGAGTACTGAAATCCCAACCAGTTTCGGCTGCTAAATTTATAATTGTTCAATAACAAGTTAAGAAGTAATTTTGAACCTTATGACATCCCTTTTTTACCTTTATCCCCTCATTTTCAATTTATATTAGCAACAAAATCAATAAAGAGTTAAATTCATTTTTCATTCTAACAGTTATTCGAGCCCCTTTACGGCAAGTCTCTTTATTTAAATAAAGAAATAAAAGATTGGATGGGCTTTGATTCTGAGAGTTCTCCGATGCAAGGTTGTTGTTAACCGACCAACCATTCCACCCATAAACTGATCGTTTTTACTTTAGCCTTATTTGAAAATTGGGAGGAAACTTTGCCGGACATACAAAATTCAAGTTTTTCCATTTACAAATTGAAAATCAGACCCTCATTTTAATTTTTAAAATTGTTTCAAAATTAATTTAGTTGCCAAAGGGAAAAGGGGAAGGAAGAAAAAAAGGGACATTTTATTTTTAACTAGAAAATACCCGATGCCAAATTCGACCACATCTGTTCACGTTCTTCATCCGTATTCAATCCTTTTACCATTTCCATGTCTTCTCTATAGCTTTCAGGTCTTGGAAATCTTGAAAAAAAGGAAAAAATAATCTTAAAAACCAAATAAAAAAATCCAAACTTCATCGCCGCCCGATATTGATAATATTGAAATAATTCTTCTTTTGTTTCCGGATCAAGAAAAGAACGTGCTCTATTTAAATTCCAAAAAGTTTGTTCTTTTTCAAGTGCGGGTAGAACCTTTTTAAAAAATTTTTTTTAATTGAAAAAATTAAAAATAAACTTGTTGGACAAAGTCAACATCACCAGTTGCTAGAAAATATTCATAAACCATTGGAGTGAGAAGTGGAGGTTGTGACCGACTCAAATAGTAAACTCTCCCTCCATTAGGTACAAAACCATGACTGAAAAAAAATATTTTTGAAAAGACTAAATTTAAATTAGGCAGAAATATGACCAAATTTCAGAAAAGAGAAAAAAGCAATCCTGACCCAAATTAGAGGCGATCGACAGAATATGGGGGCGAACGATGTATGACACTACCTGTCCTCTGTCTCTATTAAAGAGGCTTAAACCTAACTAACTCTTATCTCAATTTTCTACTCTACTGACTTTGAACTCTTTGTTATATGTCGTTGAATGAGGAGCTGCCAAAAGGAGTTAAGAGGTGAATGACGGCTGGAATATTCACCTGATCTCTGTTTATGTCAGCATTTCACAATAACAAAGAGTTCAGAGTCAGTAGAGTAGAGAGACGAATCGAGATTTTCCGAGAGATCTCACACGATTCTCGCACAAGACTATTATTCCGGTCTCCATTCTAGAGGCTTAAACCTGATGGAAAACGGACCTTTCATTAAATGAGCTTAACAAATATCCCCTCGTGGAACCCTTTACGTGATTAGTTTAGTTGGCAAGGGTAAAAAAAGTGAAATAGTGTATAAAAATGGAAAAGCAGAGTTGAAAATTTCCCAAAAAAATTTTTAAATAAAATTTATTTAGTTTTAAAAATACTTTTCAACCATGTAGATAAGGTTGAGAATCGTTCCCTTTGCTGTGTCATACATTTCAGAAAAAAGAAGTCCCTTCAATATCCAAAAAGAATCCCAATAATAAAATTCTTTAAAACGGCCACCAGGAATAATAAATGGATGGGGAACGTAAAGTAAAGAATAACGCTCTTGATGAAGACGGACATCGTCCTTTACCTTGAAAAAATTTAAAAAATTATTTTAAATTAAAAATTAAAGAAAACCCGTCTGCAAAGATCACGCCAGATTCGGTGTAAATGTAATGCCCACCGTCGAAGTTGATAGTCGTCAATGTTGGTAAAGCTTTAGAATATTGAAATTAATTAATTTTCTGGTTAGTTTTGAACTCTTTCGGTTCGATTTGAAACCGACAACCTATTTAAAATACTTAAACTTGGAATCGAGGGATAGAGGTGAACAGGTAAATATTAGCCTGAACAGGCCCACAGACAAGGACCTTTTTGCCTAATCCCTCCCCAAATTTTTTCCGTTTCCCCATTTAGGGGGGGGGGGAATTCCCCCCTTGCTACGGGCCCAAATTCCCTCCTTTTCCTCATTTAGGGGGGGGGGGATTACAGCTTGCTACGGGTTTGAGCTGGTACCTGCGAAGGTCAGTTACTCCAAATTTTAAAAACCCGGTTTTCACAGGTTTTATTTGTGGGAACTTAAAAAATCACTGTCTCAAAAATTTTCGTTTTTAAACTCGGATGCCAAAAACCCATAATTTAAGCATCTAAACCTCTAACAAAACTCTAAAAAATAAAAGAAAACCTATTCGGAAACGGCACCCAATCTTCAGGATATGTTTCTTGTAGTTCATGTCCAGGGGCATCAAAATGTGCTTCAACAAATGAGCTCAATATTTCGGCATCTTTGCTTCGTTCTCCCAATTCGTAAAAGGCACGAAGTGTTGCGACTTTAAAAGAAAATTTTTTAAAAAAAAATTTTTTTTAAAACCTGGATCCTGTTTAAGAGGCATATCTACAAAATATTTTGAATCAGAAAATAGCCTGGCATCCTGTACTGCTTGCAGAATTGGACCATCACAATAAATTGAACTGAGCAAAGAAACAACATAATAAAGCATTGAAGAGAAAAATAATTTTTTAAAAATACTCCTGAAATGAAAATTTTGAAAAAGTTCCCCCTCCCGGTTAGCCCCCCCCCCTCCTTCCTCTTTTATTCTTAAGATAATTTTTTTTCTTTTCATCAAGTGTTAATATTCCAAAAGTAAAATACATCCTGACTAGTTTCAGCCTAAAAGCGACCTGAGATATTTTTTCAAAGTTTCGATTTTCAAAGAGGGTTTTCCTACGGGTATGTCGCGGGTTATCCAAAACCCCAGTCTTTTTTCAACCCGAAACATGATCCAAAAAAAATTTTGAAAACCCGACCCTATTTTCTTAACACATGACAGGTCTGGTCGGGAAAGTTGCACCACCCCAACCCATGTCCAAAAAAATTTCAAAAATTTTTTTTACAAGAAAATATCGTTCAAACAAAGGGTCGAGGCAATGCAACAACCACCTTTTCGAGATAAAAAATGAAATAGGGTTATTTAAACTCAATTAAGATATTTAAATAAATAAATATATTTAATAAAAAACTGAAAAAAAATAAATTATAAAATTTTATCAAATAAATAAAATAAAAATTATAAACCGGTCTGAAAAATATTTCTTTGTGCCAATTCTTCAATAAAAATTTTTTCTTCTTCAAGTAAACGGATTATTAAGCTCATTAGACACATTTATATAAACACTCTTTATTTGTGTATAATTCCAAATTGCAGCCTCCCCATTTTCACGTCCATAACCAGATTGATTAAAACCTCCAAATGGAACATGGGGATGTACATCATTGTAGGAATTTATGTAAATATTGCCTGCTTTCATTTTTGAAGCAAATAAATGAGCTTTTCTCAAATCTCTGGAAATAAATAAATTTAATTTTAAACCATCTTATAATCAGTTTTGATTTCAAGAAACCACCCTAACTACCAAGGGCGTAGCCAAGGGGGGGGCTTCTGGGGCTAAAGCCCCCCCGAAATGGGAGAAAGGGGAGAAAAATTAGGAGAAGAATTAGCAAAAAAGTGAATTTTTTTGGCCTACGGCCTTCATAATTTTAAAAATTTTCGCCTGCGGCGCTAAAATGGAAGAAATCTGGCTTCTGAGCTCCAAAATTCAAAAAATTTTCGCCTGCGGCGCTGAAAATCACAATTTTTGGCGCCTGCGGCGCCGAAAAAGTGAATTTTTTGGCCTACGGCCTTCTAAAATTAAAAAAATTTTCGCCTGCGGCGCTGAAAAAAATAAAAATATGGTTCAAAAAAATTTGCGTCCAGAACGCCAAGGTAAACGCCAAAAATTTTGCGCACACCCAGTGTTAGCCCCCCCGAAATCGACCCTCTGGCTACGCCCTTGCTAACTACTAGGATTAATTTTGTACTTGTCAATGTAAAGAGAAAGTTGGATACGATTTCGGGACGGATTTTAGAAAATTTTTTGGACCAGATATCGGATTTCAGATCGAAAATTTTGTAAGGGTTTCGAATGAGACGGGTTTCGGATGAGATTCATGACAGGTTTTTATAAGACTGGGCACGCGATTTATACTTCTACAGGGGTTGAAAAAGGAAAGACTACAATCTGACTGTGAGTTCCTAATCGAGGAACGTAATCTATTTTTTCTGAAAAATTTTCTGCACGGGAAAACATCATTCTACTCCCGCAAACACTGGATTTTGACCTACTTTAGCAGATCCCGATAGAAAATATTAAAAATATAACCTTGTAAATATTCCACCAGCCAATCCAAATTCAGTATCATTTGCCATTTTTAAGGCTTCCTATTAAAATAAAAAAAATAAATTTCCTTCAAATATTTCAAAAAAACCTCTTCGCTGTCAAAAGGTATAATCAACATAACAGGTCCAAATATTTCTTCCCTGTAAACACGCATATCTGGCCGTATATCAGTCAAAATACAAGGAGAAAGGTAAAATCCTCCTTCTAGGCCTTAAATTGAAAAAATAAAAAAAATTTTTAAAAATTTTTCAAGAAATTTTTCAAAATTTTCAGAAAATTTTCAAAAAATTTCTCAGAAAATTTTTTTGAAAAATTTTTCACAAAATTTTCAAAAAATTTTTCAGAATTTTCAAAAAATTTTTCAGAAAATTTTCAAAAAAATTTTCAAAAAATTTTTCAGAAAATTTTTCAAGAAATTTTTCAGAATTTTCAAAAAATTTTTCAAAAAATTTCTTAACCCAAAAAACCTTGAATATTTATTCTTTCTCCTCCAGTTAACAATTTGGCTCCTTCTTTCAATGCACCATCAATAAAGGACTGAACTTTTTGTAAATGTTCCAAAGAAATGCAAGCACCAACATGGGTTTTATCGTTAAGGGGGTCCTTTTAAAAATATTTCATGTTGAAATAGATAAATTAAAAATTACTCCAATACGCAAATTTTCAGTTCTGTCAACCACAATTTTTGTAAATTCATTCAAAAGGCTTTTATGTACAAGAATTTTAGAAGCATTTGAACAAACTTGTCCTAAAAATATTTTTGAAAATAAATTTTATGAGTTGTTATTATTTTCGAGAAAAATAATTCTCGTCCAGTTTTATGGCTCTTATGCAGATTTTCTTTGGGTTTCAAAAATTAAGGTTTGTTCATTAAGGTTTTTGGGTTCGGAACCTTCGGGCAGATGAATTGAAACAATCCGTTAAATTATTTATGAAGTTTGGTTAATTTTTTAAAATGTTAGAAAACCCATTAAAACTATCAAAAATTAATAGTAATATAAGTAATCGGTCGGGTGGAGAAAAAAGTCGGGTCAGATTTGGGTCTGAAATATTCCTAGGAAACGGGTTTCGGTTCGAAAAAAGACAAATTTCGTGTAACCCAGTCCAACCTTCAAACAAATCGGACAAGAACCAAATGAGTATTAAATGTTCTCAAGACCTAGACAAAATACCTTGGCTCAAAAAATTAGCCAACATAGCTCCATGAACAGCCACTTCCATTAATGCATCCTCCAAAACAATGCAAGCACTTTTCCCTCCCAATTCCAAAGTTACAGGCTTTATATTTTCACTAGCACAAGCTTTCGCAATTGCCTTCCCAGTTTCAACACTTCCAGTAAAAGAAACTTTTCGGACCAAAGGAGACACGCAAAGGGCCGCTCCCGTCTCAGCTTCTCCCTGTAAAATATTGACAACGCCATCTGGCAATCCGGCACATTGAAGGAGAAGTGCAAGCAGAACCTGAAAAAGGCCTTTCTAAAAATTTTTTAAAGTAAAAAACATACGCTCGAAATAGGAGCCAATGGACTTGGTTTATAAACAATTGAATTACCACAGGCTATAGCTGGCGCTATTTTCCAAGAAGCTGTCTTTTAAAATAAAAAAATTTTTTAAAATTAAAATTAGAAGTTAGCTGTCGGGATTTGACTAAAACGCCAATGGACTTGGTTATAAGGGGGAAGCTCCTGATGTTGTTACCTAATCCAGCAAGATAGTCTAATTTTCCTTTTATTTTGAACCCAATCTCGTTACTCAAATAAAGGATGAGGGTGGAGGTTACGAGTATACAGAATCAAAAAAGTTCGAGCATTCCGGAATACTTTATTGGTTCCGGGTATCCGAAAATTACAAAGGAACCGCTATCTTATATTCTATATGGATATACGTGATTTTGATTTTAACGATGAAAAATTGGGGGGGGGGGGTTCAGAGTTAGCTTATATCAGTATTTAATAACTTGAAGTAACGTAGTTGCAAACTGGGAAAAAATTTAACTCTTAAGCCAAGGCGTCTGAGAAATTTAAACTTTCAGTTGAAAATTTAAAAGCTAAAGATTATACCTGTATTGGATAATTCCAAGCACCAATAGCTCCAACAACACCATAAGGTTCTCTTCTTGTGTAGGCAAACCGTTCATTTTGTTCATCATAAGGAAAATGTTCACCGGCCAAACGAACACCAGCAAAATATTCAAAAGTGTCGGCACATGAGAGAATGTCTGCTTTTGCTTCGGAAATTGGTTTGCCGTTATCACGAACTTCCCAACCGCTAAGCTCGTTGACATGTTCCCTGAAAAATTTAAAAATAAGGAGAGAATAAAATGCCGAATATAGCCGTAAGGAGTAAAAACCCAAAAAAGTCAACGTCAAGTAGGCCGTAGCCAGGAAGAATAGGGCGTAGTATTGACATAGTACCTTACGTATCAGATAAATATTTGGGCCTAGGATTGACGGATCCAGCTCAGAAAAAATTCCAAGTATTTTTAGTCTGGTTAATGGCTCCTTATATTCGCGGATTTGTAACGATCCGCACAAATTTCCCATTCAGTTGATTCACAATTAAAAATCAATTCTGGCTATATTTTATGAGGTACGTTCGTATCAGGGATGGAGAATTTTCAATTTTTAAAAAGCGAAAGGCTGAAGCTGAAGACCCAAAAAGGCGGAATTCTGCGAAAGGCAAATCCACCCCTAGTTCGTATGCACAAAAGCAGGTGCCAAAATTAAAAAGTCCAAAATTTCAATAAGGATTTGACCCTTCCCACGAAAAATTTTCCCTGGTACCTGCCCAAAAAATCTAAAACAACCTCAACAGAATAGCAGTTCTATTAAGAATTTGTTGTCTATCAATCCACGACGTTTTCCCCCACTCCTTTTGTGCTCCAGAAGCGACTCGTACCGCAAGCGTAATATCAGGTCCAGTAGCCGATTTGCATTCAGCAAGCAAATTTCCTTTAAAAAAATGTTTTTAGAATTAAAATTTAAAAGTAACCATTCCTCGGCTCAATTATTTTAAATAATTTCCCAGCAGAAAGATTTATTCTAGCTCCATTTACAAAATGTAGAGCGGCAAGTAAGTCATTTGGAATTGTAAATTTTCTCATTCGTTCTATAGGGTTCTCTACAAATTCATAAAAATGTTGAATTGCAATACTTGTGAGGAGTTGTGATGAACGAAGTTTCTAAAAAATTTGGACCTTTTCGGTTCACTAAAGAAAGTTCGCTAAAAAACACGCCCAATTAGGCGCGAGGCCATAACGGCGCAAAGCCATAACTTGCTGGAAAATTTCTGGCCCTTAATAATTTTGGTACCAATCTCTTTATCTCGATGAGAGGAATCGTTTACTACTAAATTTAATAAGATTCGGAAATCCTGAAGCTAGTTATGGCTTTGCGCCGTTATGGCCGCGCGCCGGGCTGTACCCCAAAGAAGTGAAGGGAGCACTGAAGTGTCCAATATAAAAAATCCCGGAAAAGGACGATTCGGTGCCGCCGTACAGTATACGCCTATTCAATATATGGCCATAACTTTCTTGATTTTCGACCGATAAGAATAATTCTCATATCATTCGAAAAGTCTCGAATTCGACATTTTTTCATAGCTGGCCTGATCTGATCATTTCAACAAAAGTTATAGACGGAAAACTGACTTTTTCTGCCTGTGACATGTGACACCTGTGACATCGATAACTTTTTGTAAAATGGTCAGACTATTGTGTACTTAATTTAAAAATCGAAAACACAATAAAAATAGTGTACTTGAAGTTATGATTAGAGATCGGTAAAATTGCATTTGCAAGATCTTGTATCAGGATTGTGTTTTAAAATTTCATACAGGACAGGCTCCTGCAGGATTAATTCTGACAACCCTGAAAACTGAAAAAAAGACAAGATTTCGGACAGGATCCTGAAAAATCCTGTGCAGAGTCCTGTGCCGATCTCTAGTTATAATCGATGAGGACGCTATTGTGTTTATCTGTATTATCACAGATACCTCCCATTATCAACTGATAGAATACACTCACACTTGGATGAGATCCTGGCTGTCCTTGTGGAGGATGTGGATTTTGAGGTGAAAGTTTGCTTAGAAAAAAACTTTTAAAATTAAAGGCAAAATGATTTTACCGATAATAATCCAGCCAAAATGGGAGTATCTCTCCTTTAGAATCAAGAAAATTCAATTCGTGTTTCGGGAATGGGCTGAGTCCTTTGTTTTGATCATTTGTTTCTGCATAGGATTTCACTATGAGGGAAGTATAAAAAATTATTTAAGAAAGAAATTTATATAAGATAAAGATATCGCTATAAAATACACTCTCGGAACTGAAAAAATGTCTTATAATGAGGTGTACACTAAACTGAGGGTTAGTCTTATAATGATTTGTTTACTAAATAGGGGTTGGTCTTATAATGGGTGTACACTAAATAGGGGTAGTCTTATAATGAGGTGTACACTAATTTGAGGGTTTATCTTATAATGACTTGTATACTAAATTGAGGTTGGTCTTATAATGAGGTGTACACTAAACTGAGGGTTGGTTTATAATGAGATGTATACTAAATTGAGGGATGGTCTTATAATGAGGTATACTAAATTGATAGTAAGATTGGTGGCAATATTGAGATTCGACTGTAATAATTAAAATAAAAACCAGCTAGTTGACAACAATAAAAAGCTCTTTTCCCCTCAGAATTGATACAATCAGGCGAGAAAAGATCATTATATCCACTACCCAACTGCTTCAAGGCCCAATTGACAGCAGCCCTTTTCCATTCATTTTTAAGTTCTACATGACATAATTCTGCATATTCTGGGCTTAAATCTTTGAGGGCATCCACAATATTCTATAAAATTTAAAAGTAATTCTCCTTTATCACACTCTTCTCCGCTACATTCCTTCCCTTTTCTCCGAAAATTTTGGAAATGGTCAAGGCCATATCAAAGGACCTACATTCCCATATTTTCGTGAAAAAGTAAAAAAATTTGGCTATATGAAATCGACCTAGCTCTATACGATGGTATGAAATTTTTTTATGGTTGACATTAGAACCGAATTGGGAGGGTCGAACGAGAAACGAGATCAATATCGAAAATCTCGATAACCTATCTGTTCTATTTGGCCGAACATTATATGCTTTTTCCTAGTGATCTCGGTTTGGAAATACCTCGGATGCCCGGCCAGAATCGAATAAGCGAAAATTTCGGTGCTTCAGTTTGGTTCCGAACCAATCCTTCTTTTGACCATTTTGTAATTCTCGAGAGAAAAAGGAGAATAGGAAGGTAACCGGAAGAGGAGTACCTGAATTACAACTCCATCTTTAGCAGCATGTATAACCCTTCCCTTTAGTTCATCTACAATTATACCAACATGAAAAGCATTTCCATAGTCAAAAGAGACTGCAGAAATAGCTTCTCTCATTTGACTGTCATCATCCCTATTTTTTTGTTGGGCAGTTTTGGCCTTGTAAAAGAAGAGAAGATCTCCAATGGAAATATTGGGGAGCGGGAAAATAAACATTTCTTATTTTAATTATTAAATTGATTATTTTTAGTAATATTTTTAGTAATAAAATAAATTAATTGGTCGTCTTATCACAAATGGAAGTAAATATAGACTTTTATAAAAATAAAAATCTTAAAATTGCAATTGTTTAGGTAATTTTAGAGAACAAACAAATACCCTATTTACTTTATCTAATAAAAAAAGTAAAAAAAATTTAACAAATAAACAATATAGCAAATAAACAATCGGACCTCGATTTAAATACCTATAGTGTTAAAAAAATCTTGTTTAAAATCGAGGGCTACTTAATTTGAAGCTCTTGGATTTTCTCAACGCAGTAACCAAACAAATCCTAAAAATCGTCCCTAAGAGTGTTGGTATTTAAAATTTGTGGTATTAATCAGAGGTGGGTCGGAACAGTCCGAGGTGTCGGAAATCGGAACTGGGGCAAAAGTCGGAACTCGGAAGGAAAAAAACGTCGGAGGTCGGAAATCGGAATTCCGACCCACCTCTGGTATTAATCGAAGTCAGACTGAATATCATTATGAACGGATACAAAATTCTAACTATTAAATCCTAAATTCCTAAACCACTAACTTTTATTTACATTTTTGGAATCCCAAATGAAATTCCAGTTTTTTCTATTCCAACTTCATTCACTCCACTTCTAATCTTGAAAAGTCCTTTTTCTCCCCAGGCAGTGCTCCATGAATTTGCAATTAACCAGAAAGGTATATTCTGTCCATTACAAGTCTGAGTACCCCAACCAATTATTTTAACAGCATGGCCGTCCAATTTCTGGGCATTTACAGTCCTCTAAAAAATAATGTGTATGTTTATTATCAAATCTACGAGTTACAAAATAAACGCCAGATTTGTATGCCACAAAATCACTATAAAGATCAAAGCAAGCGACGACTGGGCCATTTGCCATTATCTCGTTTTTAATAGCTTGAACGGTTGCTGTACTTCCTTGAAGACCTCCAACACTTGTTGCTAGATAAATCAGATTAAAATATGTCAAATGGTACGCATTGATGGGAAAGAAATGATAAAATTGTTTCTGCTTTTATAGTAATCCAGTTGCTCTTAGTTTGACCCTTTAATCCCTCCCTGTAATGATTCTTTTCACTGTTACTCTTATCTTCTACAACAACACTTTTACTGTTGCTTAGGAAATATGTATGAATATTATTGTGAGCAAGTGTTGAATGATTTATCGGATAGGTGAGCACAACTTGTGAGCAGGCCAACGTACCACGAGACTAATGACCGCCGAGCTATAACTTGCTTCGAAATTATCGAATCCAGGACTCCCTAGCATCGAGCTGAGCATACCATAATGCCCCGAATTCGATAATTCTGGCGAAGTTATAGCTCATAGGTACATTGGGCTCGCGGTACACTGCGATGTACCTCTAACACTTTATCACATTGCCTTATGTGGTACTATTAACTTAATCTCCTAACCAACAGAATTATCCCTTAAAAGTTTTTCCTGGTAGAATTCAACCCGAACTCTATAAAAAATTTTCTTTTGTAAATTACCAAAATGTTTATCTTTGGGATATGTTGTCCTCCAGTTTGCTGTACATGAAGATTTACATTGTAACCTAGTTGCTGGTTTACCGGGTGTATATGGATATGGTTTACACCCGCTTTTCGTTTTATAGTCTGTTCCTGTGCATACTCCTTTGCTTTTTATCCAGTTCCATGCATTTAAAGGCCAGCCGCCTTTGCACCCATCTCCACTTATTGAACAAGATAATATATCTAGAGCAGAAAATTGAGAGCCTGCATCTGTTGCAGAGGTTGCTTGACCTTTCTTGAGTCTAGTAATACAATAACGGTCTGTATAGACAGAGGCGGTAGATACAGCCCAACAACTTCCACATGGTCTTTGGTCTTTAATAAGATAATATTAATGATAAAAAGATGGCTAAGTGGCTAAATCAGCGCTAAGTTGCATAGCTATGATAATCCATCTTTTCAACACACCCTCCTTCATTTGTTTAATCAGAGGTTTGGTATGTATATAGCCTGGAATCGGAGCAAGACAAGATCTCCTTAGTCCGATCTCTAATGTAGACGAGAATAGAAAAGAGAGGAATCGAGAGTTGGAATGGGGGGGGGGGAGGATTGGGGGTTGAGATTGTTGACATCTTATCTACCTATGCCAGGGCTCTCATCGACAAAATGCCACTCAAAAGTATCAAAATCTTGATAAAAAAGTATATAGGGAGAAAATTTCCAAATTTAAAGTATACTCAAAATTAAATTGGAAAATATTTGTTCGTGCTCAAATCTTTTATATTTCTCTCTTAAATGAATCTTTTCTAATAATTTCTTGCTTCCATTGGGCATTTTGTGCATTTCAACGCATGACATGTCAAAATTCGCTGATACAAGAAATAAAGCCCTGACAGTCTTAACCTCAAGCTTTCGTCCATTTTCAGCGCCGCAGGCGAAAATTTTTTGAAATTTGGAGCCCATGTAGTACTAAATTAATTTTTAAAAATAAAATAATAACAAAATATTATTTAATTTTTTATTTAATATTGGCAGATGAACAAACTTAACTATATAAAATTACCTCTTGGAGGGGTTGAAAAATATGTAAATATTTTTCAATAATTAAATAAATTTATGCACTTTTTAAAAAATATTTAGACAAAATTTAAAAAATTAAATTTATCGTAAACACTCTAATTGAAGCCCACCTCTAATAGAAGACCACCTCTAATATAGGCCCACTTGAAAAGACCCATTGAAAGATATAAGCCCAGGGCTTCAATTAGAGTATTTACGGTAAATTAATTTTTATATTGAGAGACAAAACACTAGCTAGAGAGCGAGATTTTCAAAAAACCTTGACCTTGATCCTTAATTTCATTTGGGTACCTTGACCAGATTCTTGACCTTGAGTCAAGGAAAAATCAAGAAATTCTGAAAAATGCCTTGATCTGGACTCTGGACCCAGGAAAAATCAAGGTCCGGATCCAGATCCAGCTCGCTCTCCACAAAACACTGTCGGACCTAAACAACGCCCACACTTGAGGATAAAAAATACCACTAAAAATTTTAGTTAAGTTTGTTCATCTGCCAATATTGACTAAAAAATTAAATAATATTTTGTTATTATTTTATTTTTTAAAAATTAATTTAGTTAAAAATTTATTTAAAAGTACAAAAAAAAATAAATTGTCTGGAAGTTAAATAAATAATAGATATATAAATACCCCCAAATATTTTTAAAATTCAAACAAAATTCGAATTTCCCCCCAAAAAGCTTTAAAAAAATGTTTAAAATTAACACTAAATTAATTTTATTATTTTTATTTCCTTTATTAGTCTCCTCAAAATTGCTAGACGGATTATTAGATTTGTCTATAGTTCAGAAACTTGTAGACGAAATTAATGGATTGACTGGGGGAATATGGACAGCAGAAGTGAATGAATTAACTAGATTGCCTTTAATAGAGCAGAAGAAGCTTTGCGGGACAATTATTCCCGAGGAGAATAAAAACCATACACAGGCAGAACCTCCAAAAGTTGAGGGGACGGTAAAGGGAAGTTGTTCGACAAAAATTGAATTTGATGCTAGAGCTAAATGGCCGGGTTGCTCAGCAATTATAGGACATATCCAAGGTAATAGTGTCGTTTGATCCTCTATTCCTCTCTATTTCGCTTATTTTGCATAGGGCATAGGTCCTATGCCCTATGCAAAATAAGCGAAATAGAGAGGAATAGAGGATCAAACGACACTATTACCTTGGATATGTCCTATAATTGCTGAGCAACCCGGCCATTTAGCTCTAGCATCAAATTCAATTTTTGTCGAACAACTTCCCTTTACCGTCCCCTCAACTTTTGGAGGTTCTGCCTGTGTATGGTTTTTATTCTCCTCGGGAATAATTGTCCCGCAAAGCTTCTTCTGCTCTATTAAAGGCAATCTAGTTAATTCATTCACTTCTGCTGTCCATATTCCCCCAGTCAATCCATTAATTTCGTCTACAAGTTTCTGAACTATAGACAAATCTAATAATCCGTCTAGCAATTTTGAGGAGACTAATAAAGGAAATAAAAATAATAAAATTAATTTAGTGTTAATTTTAAACATTTTTTTAAAGCTTTTTGGGGGGAAATTCGAATTTTGTTTGAATTTTAAAAATATTTGGGGGTATTTATATATCTATTATTTATTTAACTTCCAGACAATTTATTTTTTTTTGTACTTTTAAATAAATTTTTAACTAAATTAATTTTTAAAAAATAAAATAATAACAAAATATTATTTAATTTTTTAGTCAATATTGGCAGATGAACAAACTTAACTAAAATTTTTAGTGGTATTTTTTATCCTCAAGTGTGGGCGTTGTTTAGGTCCGACAGTGTTTTGTGGAGAGCGAGCTGGATCTGGATCCGGACCTTGATTTTTCCTGGGTCCAGAGTCCAGATCAAGGCATTTTTCAGAATTTCTTGATTTTTCCTTGACTCAAGGTCAAGAATCTGGTCAAGGTACCCAAATGAAATTAAGGATCAAGGTCAAGGTTTTTTGAAAATCTCGCTCTCTAGCTAGTGTTTTGTCTCTCAATATAAAAATTAATTTACCGTAAATACTCTAATTGAAGCCCTGGGCTTATATCTTTCAATGGGTCTTTTCAAGTGGGCCTATATTAGAGGTGGTCTTCTATTAGAGGTGGGCTTCAATTAGAGTGTTTACGATAAATTTAATTTTTTAAATTTTGTCTAAATATTTTTTAAAAAGTGCATAAATTTATTTAATTATTGAAAACTAGCGATGGGTTTGACCACTGGGGTGGATATCAGGACACTGTGGCGGTTAAATTTTGCTTTGGGTTTAAATTTGGCTCTGCCCGTTCGAAAGCCTACGGCTTTGGGGGCGCGCTTCGCGCGCCGCTAGCGATTTTTTATGCCTGGAACAAAAGATTAGCCTTCATTGGGACTCATCCTTCCACTTAGAGTCACTTCGCCTTCGGCCCTCGTCTTCTCTTTTAGATGGGTGTCAGCTTGGGCCTTCAGCCCTCGTTGTCTCTTTTAGATGGGTGTTAGCTCGGGCCTCCGGCCCTCGACCTCCCTCTTAGATGGGTGTCATCACGGGCCTTCGGCCCTCGCCCTCCCTTTTGGATGGGTGTCAGCTCAGGCCTCCGGCTCTCGCCCTCCCTTTTAGATGGGTGTCAGCTCGGGCCTTCGGCCCTCGCCCTCTCTTTTAGATGGGTGTTAGCTCGGGCCTCCGGCCCTCGACCTCCCTCTTAGATGGGTGTCAGCACGGGCCTTCGGCCCTCGCCCTCCCTTTTGGATGGGTGTCAGCTCAGGCCTCCGGCTCTCGCCCTCCCTTTTAGATGGGTGTCAGCTCGGGCCTTCGGCCCTCGCCCTCCCTTTTGGATGGGTGTCAGCTCAGGCCTCCGGCTCTCGCCCTCCCTTTTAGATGGGTGTCAGCTCGGGCCTTCGGCCCTCGCCCTCTCTTTTAGATGGGTGTTAGCTCGGGCCTCCGGCCCTCGACCTCCCTCTTAGATGGGTGTCAGCACGGGCCTCCGGCCCTCGCCCTCCCTTTTAGATGGTTGTCAGCTCGGGCCTTCGGCCCTCGCCATCCCTTTTGGATGGGTGTCAGCTCAGGCCTCCGGCTCTCGCCCTCCCTTTTAGATGGGTGTCAGCTCGGGCCTTCGGTCCTCGCCCTCTCTTTTAGATGGGTGTCAGCTCGGGCCTTCGGCCCTCGCACTCTCTTTTAGATGGGTGTTAGCTCGGGCCTCCGGCCCTCGCCCTCTCTTTTAGTTGTGTGTTAACTCGGGCCTTCGGCCTCGACCTTCATTTTAGATGGGTGTCAGCTCGGGCCTTCGGCCCTCGCACTCCCTTTTAGATGGGTGTTAGCTCGGGCCTCCGGCCCTCGCCCTCCCTTTTAGATGGGTGTCAGCTCGGGCCTTCGGCCCTCGCGACTCCATTTAGATGGGTGTCAGCTCGGGCCTTCGGCCCTCGCACTCCCTTTTAGATGGGTTTTAGCTCGGGCCTCCGGCCCTCGCCCTCTCTTTTAGTTGTGTGTTAACTCGGGCTTTCGGCACTCGACCTTCATTTTAGATGGGTGTTAGCTCGGGCCTTCGGCCCTCGCACTTCCTTTTAGATGGGTGTCAGCTCGGGCCTTCGGCCCTCGCGACTCCTTTTAGATTAAGAATGGTAACGTAAACCCCTCCAAGAGGTAATTTTATATAGTTAAGTTTGTTCATCTGCCAATATTAAATAAAAAATTAAATAATATTTTGTTATTATTTTATTTTTAAAAATTAATTTAGTTAAAAATTTATTTAAAAGTACAAAAAAAAATAAATTAATGTCTGGAAGTTAAATAAATAATAGTTACATATAAATACCCCCAAATATTTTTTAAAATTCAAGCAAAATACGAATTTCCCTCCAAAAAGCTTTAAAAAATGTTTAAAATTAACACTAAATTAATTTTATTATTTTTATTTCCTTTATTAGTCTCCTCAAAATTGCTAGACGGATTATTAGATTTGTCTATAGTTCAGAAACTTGTAGACGAAATTAATGGATTGACTGGGGGGATATGGACAGCAGAAGTAAATGAGTTAACTAGATTGCCTTTAATAGAGCAGAAGAAGCTTTGCGGGACAATTATACCCGAGGAGAATAAAAACCATACACAGGCAGAACCTCCAAAAGTTGAGGGGACGGTAAAGGGAAGTTGTTCTACAAAAATTGAATTTGATGCTAGAACTAAATGGTCGGGTTGTTCAGCTATTATAGGACATATTCAAGGTAATAGTGTTGTTTGGACCCTTTTTTCTTTGTTCGAAATCTTGTCACGATCTCCAGTCTACATACTAAACCTTTGATTAAGCTTCCTTGAAGGAGAAAGTTGGAAATCTAGAACAGTTATTTTATTAAAAAAGGAAGATGCATAGTGAAGAGGAGATCAATCAAAACGCTTAATACGGGAGTTAAAGGATTTATTAAAGGAGAAGGTTAAAACGGCGCCCCGGTAGATAAGTAGGTAGATCCGAGGTGAGTGAAAGCGACGACAATAAATGCCACGAGTTTGCAGGTTCGATGCCTGCCCAGGGATAAACTTTAATAGAAGACTTAAGCTTCGGGGGAGGGTTAAGCTTGAGCGAGGGCTTAACATTTGCCTCTTTCTTACTGTTAAGGGAGAGAGAAACGCGACCGGACTGAGCGTTGATCTCAGGGTCTGGCTATCCAAACGGCACTATTAATCCTTATTTAAGATCAAGGACAATGTGGAAGTTGTTGGGCAGTATCTACCGCTTCTACTTACACAGACCGTTATTGTATTGCTAAGGCTAAGAAAAACCAAAAAATTGGAACAGATGCAGGCTCCCAATTTTCTGCTCTCGATGTATTATCCTGTTCGATGAGTAGAGATGGGTGCCAAGGTGGTTGGCCTTTAGATGCTTGGAAATGGATACAAAGCAAAGGAGTATGTACAGGAACAGACTATAAAACGAAGGGAGGATGTAAACCATATCCATATGCATCCGGTGGAGCAACACCTAGGTCACCCTGTAAATCAGCATGTACAGCAAACTGGAAGACAGCATATGCAAAAGATAAACACTTTGGTAATTTAAAGGAGGAAAATATTTTTAAAAGACTAGAGAGCAATTTAGTTCTGTCTGGTGGAATAGAAGGGAACGCTGAGAAAATGGGGTTGAATGACTTAAAGATAGTTCCTCTCGGAGCAGTTCAGTCCGGAGTTCAGTCCCGACTTTATAACTCAATGGTCACTCATTCATTTTTCTTGATACCAATGGAAAGAGAATCAAAAGCTCTAACCATCATGTTATAGGGCTGGGGGGGGGGGGGGGGAGGGGGAGGGGGAGGGGTACCGATACTCCTAGTGTCTTATTATTTAAGGGAATATAGGAGCGAAGGGGAATTCATACTGTAAGGGATTAAGAGGTGAAACAGATGACAACTGAAGTACTATAAAAGCTGGAAAGCTCCCTCTAATCTTATCTATTTAGCAACGGGTGCAAAGGGTTTTCAAGGAAGTACTGCAACCGTTCAAGCTATTAAAAATGAGATAATGGCAAATGGCCCAGTCGTTGCTTGTTTTGATGTTTATAACGACTTTATGTCATACAGATCTGGAGTTTATTTTGTAAATTCTAAGGGTTTTAATGGAACAAAAAATTATTTTTAGAAGACAGCAAATGCCAAAAAAGTAGGAGGACATGCTGTCCGAATAATTGGTTGGGGTACCCAAACGTGTAGTGGAAAGAGTATGCCTTTCTGGCTAATTGCAAATTCATGGAGCACTGGATGGGGAGAAAAAGGACTTGTCAAGATTAGAAGTGGAGTGAATGAAGTTGGAATAGAAAAATCTGGAATTGCTTTTGGGATTCCAAAAATATAGAGAATTTAATAGTTAGTTGATTTAGAATGTAGATAGAATGGGTTGATTGCTAAAAATGTTAGAATATTTGTTCTTAATTACCTAAATACAGCCGGACCTCGATTTTAAATTAGGGTAGCACTCCGAGCCTTCGGGGGCCGGAGTGTCGGGTTCGGGGTTTCCGGAGTAGTGCCCTTCGGGTTTAAATGCCTCTCTTCCCCTAATTCTAGATAACCCTCATTTTTAGATTCGATTTGAAAATTTGGGTGGCTACCGGGTAGGAAGAGGATATAAGCTCGAGGCATATCCCCGAATTCAGATACTCTTCATATTAACTGAGATTTCCTCAGGGGGGGGGGAAATTAAAACCGATGTTCAACTGTATAATTGCATAGTTGTTATTAATGTTGAATAAATATACCGTTTTTCTAAAAGATAGTGTAGGCTGAAAAGTTAGGCAGGCTTTTCCGGATATCCGGATAAACAAAGCGAGGATATACTAACTTTGGATAGTATGTAGTGAAGATCATTGATCCTTAGCTTTTTTGGCATCTTTAAGGTTTATCGGTAGGTAATCGAGTTAATTTTGAATTCTGGAACCGAATTCGACCAAGCGAATTCGGGTAAACATTGAAACGATGCCGGTTCTTTCGCACGATGCCGGTTCGCTCACAGCCGCCGAATAACCTTTCGCACTAGCTAATGGATGGAAATAGCTGTAGCCCAGCTGCTTTACTCAAATTCTAATCTCAGATTCGGACTTAGAACACTCGATCACCTACTGGCAAGCTTCAAAATATAGAAAAACCATTTCTTGATCTTCTTTCTCAAGACCAATAATTTTTCTCGAGACTACATATCACCTAACTTTGTTTATCGTTAATAAAAAGTGCATTATGAAAGTCTTATTTATCAGACGTATACATGTTTCACAATGTTGCCCTTTATAGCAAGCACTTTAAAAACAATCATTGCATCATTGGGAAATAACGTGCCCGCTCAAAGGATAGATGAATCAAAGGATAGATACGGCTAAAATCGATCAAAGGATAGACGCGGCCAAAAGCTGCTAAAGGATAGATAAGGCAAAAAACGATTAAAGGATAGATGTATCAAAGGATAGATGCGCCAAAGGATAGATTAGGGTAAAATCTATTAAAGTATAGACACGTCTAAAATTGGGTAAAAAATAGATAAAGTTTGGAGGCAAGTTGAGTATCAACTGTTAAGTGCACTTTTTTGATGGTTCAAGTTCTGATTTTTCTTATGATTTCAGGTTTGTTCTGATTTTTATTTTATTCTTACTTTAGTATATTCGCGGAAAAAAGTTTTTGCCGCTGCGGAGGAAGCCGGGAATGTCGAGCGGAACGACGGCCGCCGCTTTGCTACGGCCGCCGCTTCGCTACGCACGACCGCAGCGAAGCACGGCCACCGTGTAGCGAAGACCATGCCCGGCCTACCCTCCGTAGCAGTACAAAAACAGTTTTTCCAGCGAAGATTCTGTTGGTTAAATATTTTTGTCCAGACTCAACCGACCTATTCCGCTGTCTATCCTTTGATCGCTTTTGACCGTATCTATCCTTTAGCGAATCTATCCTTTGATGCATCTATCCTTTGATAGTTTTTGGGCGTATCTATCCTTTAGTGCATCTATCCTTTAATTTATCTATCCTTTGTAGGGGAGCCGGAAATAATTAAAGTGCTTTTAATTTTATGTAAACAGGAAATCAGATTTAAATAAAAGCACAAGTAATAAGAATTTATTTTTCACTTTTCATTCGTTACTTAAAAAAATTTTTTTTTTTTATTTAAAGGCGAGGGATATATAAAATCCAGGGTATCGCTTAGGCAGCTCTCGCTCTCATACCTTCTCCTCTCACTCAGCTAGCCAAACAAGTATTAAAAATCGTTTCAAAAAGCCGAGGCCTGTCTTAATTTTTAATATATTCAGAACTAATCTTAACATAACCCCAATATTTAATATTGTTACGTGAGAGGTTTATTGTAGAGATGGAGATTTTTGAAAAGCCTGGGCCTGTTCCTTGGTGTTTGATTTATTGACTTGGGCCAGATCATGGGCCTATAGTACCTGGGGGATTAGTACCTGGGGGACTATTACTCGGGGGGGGGGGGGGGGGGACTAGTTTCTGAGGGACTAGTACCTGGGGGACTAGTGCCTGGGGGACTAGTACTCGGGGGGATTAGTACCTTGGGGATTAGTACCTGGGGGACTAGTGCCTGGGGATTAGTACCTGGGGGACTAGTACCCTGGGGATTAGTACCTGGGGGACTAGTCCTGGGGGATTAGTACCTGGGGGACTAGTGCCTGGGGGACTAGTACCTGGGGAATTAGTACCTGGGGACTAGTTCCTGTGGGACTAGTACCAGACCTGGGCGAAACTCAAAATTTTTTTCTGACGAAACGAAACGAAACAAAATTTTTTTAAAATCGTTTCGTTAACGAAACGAAACGAAACAACCTAAATCTTACGAAACGAAACGAAACAAAACGAAACATTTTAATATTCAAAAAATTTTCAAAACTTCATTTATTTCGCAATTATTCGACCTCAAATACTTTATTAGTCGCCTACGATTTATAAATGATTTAGTTTTTGGTTTATTTACAACAATTTGTCCCATAAGCCAGGCCCGTAGCAAGGAAAATTTTCGGGGAAGGGGGGGGGGGGGTCAATCATTTTCGAAGCCGAATTTTTGGCGACGCTTTTTTTCAAATAAAATTTAATATTTTTCAAGTAAAATTTTATTTTAAGCGCCGCAGACGAAAAATTTTAAAATTTTGAAAGGCCGTAGGCCAAAAAATTCACTATCTTGCTCCATTGCCTACCCAAATTGTCTCCATATCTCCATTTCGAGAGGAGAGCGATATAAGCTAATGCTTCGCCGGAAGTTCCGGTTCCAGTATTTCCGCAACTCGCAATCCGCAATTTTTAAATTATGATGCGAGTCCGGTAATAGAATTTGTCGTCGATTAAGTAATATGTATATGCGGATTAGGGAGTGGAGTATAAACGGATTTGTAGTATATAAGTAATTGATATCTTCCTTTTTCAGCGCCGCAGGCGAAAATTTTTTTAATTTTCAATAAAAGATGGTTAATTTTATAGATTTTGGCCTTAGTTTAGGCTTAAAAAATTGTTTCGTTTCGTTGAAAAATCACAGGTGTTTCGTAACGAAACGAAACGAAACAAATTTAAAAGTGTTTCGTAACGAAACGAGACGAAACAGTAAAAATCATACGAAACATACGAAACAACGAAACGAAACGAAACGTTTCGCCCACGTCTGACTAGTACCCTGGGGATTAGTACCTGGGGGACTAGTGCCTGGGGGACTAGTGCCTGGGGGACTAGTACCCTGGGGATTAGTTCCAGTTCAGGTATGATTTGACCAAAGGGGTTATCTTACACTGAAGTTTTTATAAATCATTTCTTTATAGATAACTAATCAAAAATGACAAAATTAATTAATTTGTCTATTTTTCTGTTAAATTTCTTGGTTATTTTCGCTGCTCCTGAAGGACAAAATATCCGAGGAGAAAGAAATGATGTAATTTTATTGCAAAATTTTGTCGTAAAATTGCTAACGGATACCGACATTAGTGAAGAATTTAAAAATATAATTCAAAAAAAATATGAAGAATTTGTAAATACAAAAGGAATTTTAAAACCAAGTTTATTAAATAAATTTGAAATTAATAATGAATATAATTTTAATTCTCCAAATTCGTCAAATTCGAGCTGCTTGACTTTTGCTAAAAATAATAATGAACAGGATAATTTATTATTACAAAAACCTTCAGATTTTGTGTTTAATGAAATGCCAGGTAGAAGTTAAAGTTGGCAGGACCTGAAAAAAGATTCGGACCTGAAAAAAGACAGGATACCAGGGAATTTTCGGTTCGGATCCAGACAACCAAAGATTTCCCAGGATCCGTTAAGCTTAGGAGGGGAAAGAACGTTCCGGACATGGCTACTCTGAATAGCTAGAAATGTGTGCTAGTTCCAAGTCGGAAATTGGAACTAATACAAATGGAAAAATAGGAAACTTATAAAATTCTCCTGAAGGTGAGGTCAAGCATTGCATTACATTTTGCCTTATTTTTGACCAAATTAATGCAAATCACCGTAATAAATAGGAGAGGATTTTGGCTTAAAGGTCTTCCAAAATTTAAGAAAAGATTTTGAAATTACAAGTTGTCTGAGGTGTCGGAAATTGGAAAGCCGGAAAAAACTAATAGAAATAGGAATTCCGAGTGGAGCTAGCCTAGCGAAACTGAAAATTAAAAAAGGATGGTTGTTATCTCTATGGTAAATGTCCGTTGTTTTTTTTGAAACTGGTATCTTAAACTTATCGAGAAAAGACAGGACATAAGAATTCCGACTTATCTCTGATCCCAATAATTTAATTAAAATAAAAAATTATTTTAAGGAAATTATTTAATAGATTTTCGAACTTATTACAAAAATCAAAGCAAAAACCAAGAGGCAAGGAAAGAAACCCTAAAAGGAAAGGAGAAAGTAATTGAAGAATATCAAAATAATACAATCGGAACTCAATTTTACGCAAACCCACAATTACACAAACCTTCAACTTTAGGTATTTCATTAAAGATTGGTTAAGAGAGCTGCCCAGGAGGTACTCCAAGTAGTTAGGCTTCCCCACTTTTTTAAGTCTATTTATCCTTTTAAGGATCCAGAGTAAGTTTGACGGATCAGGATATCTGGGCCCGAAAAAGACCGAAGAGCCAGATTCGGTATGGGTCCGGATCTCCCCGCGCTAATCCAGATTATGCGCCTGATCCAGATTATGCGTCCAATCATAACTTTCTGTCTACCGTCTGCTCCATTTTCTAACCCAATTTTTTATCCCAATTTTCTATCTGATTTTTTATCCCAATTATCTATCCCGATTATCCCGATTAGACAAATTGAAGAAAATTATTTTTAAGAAAATAATTTAATAATCAAAAATGATCAAAAAGAAACGCCAAACTATAATAATAATTTTAATCAAAATACACAACAAGGATTTGGCCTTAAATTAGATAAAGAAAAGTTGATTGAAGAATATAATCGACGATTTAATAATTCGGGTTAGATTTAAGATCAACGAAATTCAAGTCTTATTAGAAATGTTACAAGGTCCCTATCCCGTCTAGGGATCGGGATTGGCCGAAATCGAGATCGTGATCTATCTTTCAGTCTCGGGATCAGCAAAATCTGGATCGGGATTAAAAAAAACCCCTCGGAACTTTACTACCGTATATACTGTATTAATTACCGTATATACTATTATTGTTTCGACCTCCTCTGGAGGGGGTAATTAATCGAGAGGATGGGCTAAATTTTGGGTATATCTCAATAAATCAAAGAGGAAATCCATTTATTTTTTGATATTAATTCTTATAATGTTTCAATAATTAAAATTGACAACGATTTTTTCAATATTTTTGAAATTAGCAAAGGAAAGGGAGGGGGTAATTATTAAAGAGGGTAATTATTTGAGGGAGGGTAATTAATAGAGTATATACGGTACACTCTACTATAAATCCCTCTGTTTTAAGATACTCCAAATATTTATAATCCACTGTTTAAGATTAATATGTGAGTATGTAAACAAAAAATAATTTAATAAAATTTTTCAAATTTTAAAGGAAAGGAGAAACTAATTGAAGAAAATCAAAAAATAAATTCTAATAAACACGAACAAATGCGATTTATTAATTTAGAAGATTTAGTAAAAAAAGACAATAAAATTACTAAAAATCAAGTTCCTCGCCCTCCAAATAATGAAAAAAATAAGCAAAAACAGGTTGATGAACCTTTGAAAAAAGTAAAAATACCGGATGTTGACCCTTTGTTTTCAGCAATGTTACGAGGACAATATAGAATGGAGAAAACCAAAAATGCTTATAATAATCAAGCAAATGAACAATTAAAAAGTAAATGAATTAAAAAATATTTGTGTTGACTTCACTATAAGATGTCCTAGATACGTCCGAGACTCTTGGTCTTGAGTCTTGATTCCAAGACTTTTCTTGGTTTTTTTCGGTCTTGGAGTGTAATCTTGGTCTTGTGTCTTGGAAGATTTTCGGTCTCGGACGTCTCTAAGATGCCCCCTTATAACTAGCTTACGTTAAATAGATTTTAATTACGGTCAATCTAAATACCAATATTCTGCCATCATGGAACGGGTTTGTAATACCTTAACCCCTGATCAGGGATTTTCCGCAACCACGAAAAGATTTTCCGCAGCCGCAATCCACAATTCTAATTTTAAAATCCTCAAACACAATCCACAATCCGCAAGTCAAAAAACACGCAATTGCAAACAGCCCTGCTCCGGATCTGTGGTTATATTCAATATTAAGTTTTCAAGACCAAGTTACCCTCATTTCATAACTTCAATTTCTACTAGGTCGAGGTCAAAAAGTTCGGGGTCGGGGTTCTAAGCCAGAAAAGGGCGGGTTCAGGGTTAGACGGAGTTGGGTTCAACACCAGATACAAATTTAAGTTTTCGATCCTTGCAAATATGATCCTACTGTTAATTTTTCAGTAAAAATATTTTTTAAAGATACTGAAAATTTAAAAGGGAAGAATAAACGATTGGGCGATTTTAATGAAATTGATGAAATGGAGAAACAAAAAATTGGAAAAAAACCAAAAATACCAGATGTTGATGAAGATTTTAATTTGTATTTACGCCGACAATATGACGCTTATAAGAGAAAAAATCAACGGCAGATCTGATCGTTTTAAATTTTAAGGGTAGGTTTTTAGAGAGTTTTACCCGTACCTTAACTTCGTTCCCGAAAGATTTCTCACATTTATTTTGCTGCCCCGACCTGAATCACGCCCCGAAACAATGTGAAAACTCCGTAGCCCGACCATACCCGCCTCCGAGCGTTCGGGGTAGTTTCCCTAGTTTTAGACATTTCGCATACTGTAAATGTTCTATTAAAAAAGACTTTTAGGCCTCTGAATTGGAAGAAATTAAGCCTGAGGGTCGCTTTCCTAGTTGAGGAAGAGGTAAAAACAATAGACTTTATGTGTTTCTATCTGAACATTTACGATATTAATTAGACTTTGATACACAGCCGAGGCTGATAGATTATCTGATGATTGTAGAAAACACTAACTGAAGTGTTAATCAAAGTAATTTTAGCCTTTTCCGTCAGAGTCCACCTTCTATGTATATTACAAGTCGAAACTCAAGATGCCACCGTTGGGAGAATTTTTTAGCAGGGTCGAGGTCAACAGTTCGAGGTCGGTGTTCTAGCCAAAAAAGGTCAGGGTCGGAGTTATAATATGATTTGGACACCGAGCCGCGTCCGAGGGTAACCCGGAAGCCAGATATATTGATAAAATCAAGGGTTCCGGGGTTTCGAGATTTTAGCCCGGTAAACTCCAAATCCCCTAAAATCCCTCCAAGAGGAGTTAGATGATTAATAAGCTCCCGATATTAAGACAAAATCCAAGAATTCCGTTTAATAAGCATGCTTAATCCCTCATAATCCTCTTTAATCACTCAAAATCCACTATAATAAGAGAGTCTTTCAAAGGGGATCGAGGAATATATTATAAAATAATTATTTAGATGCCTAGTATAAGAATACAATGAAAAGCTGATTTTTAGAAAATTAATTGAATTTGGCCGGCAAAATTGAATTTTGACGTTGGCATATTTAAAATATAAAAATTTCTTTTTAATATTTATTTTTAATTTAAAATTTAAAATTTATTTAATTTATTGTCCACATAAAATTTTTTATTTTTAATAAAGTAGAAAGACAAATAAAAATATTTTGTCTCCCATTTGTTTACAATTTTCTTGACCTCAAAGTGAGCGAGAAGGTTCCTGCCATTCCGATCGCTTCAAATTTATTTGGGCTATTAAAGTTAATTGATTTTATTGGCTTTATTTAATTAAAGGAGCTAGGACAATTTATTATAAGGGGGGCAAGTTCTATAGGATGGGTGGGGGTTTTCAAAAAAATTTTCCGAATCGTGTCTTGGGTAGCCTGATCTATTTCCTCCGAAGATGCATTATAGACAATATATGTACCTATATTAGTGACCGGCGCTAGACCAAATCCGGCCGGATTTTCCGAGTCTAGATCCCAAACCCGGGGTTTTTTTTAGATTTCCGGACTAAAACCGGACCGGATTAATTCGGAAAAACCCTGCTGGACACGTCCCGGCTCTAGTTGCAAAGAAAAAAACGGGTCCGGAAAAATTGAATTTTGCCGAACACTAATATAGATATACCTATTTTAATTTTTTGAATTGAACGGCAACCGCTCTCTATTTTTCAAAAGTTTGTGAGGGAAAGTAAGGTCGTTTTTGTGTAGCCTGATCAATTGCCTCCCAAGGTTTCAAACCGAACCGAAGATTTTCGGTTCGGTTTCGTTTAACCGAAGAATTTGGTGAAACCGACAACCCTATTGGAGGGCGTGACTTCAAAGAAGGCTTTAAGAAGAGTGCGAGATTTAATTGAAGGTATTATGGAGAGTAATGAAGGGTGTCTCTCAAATAGAGGCCGTTCATACGGTATTTTTAAAAAAAGACAAATTGCCTCATTTAGTGAATATTTTGGCGTAAAATTATTTTTTAAATAATTTATTAAATTAATTTTAATTATTTTAATAAATTTCCCCCTATCTATTATGTAGATATGGCAACGAATAAACCGAAAAATAATTTATTTAATTACCAAAAATGCTTATTTATTTTTCTAATTTTTATAAAATTTAAATTGTTATTTTCTCAATTTCAACTAAAAATTGAAAAAAGGAATGGGTGTTCAGCTAATATTCTCCAACAATGTGTAGAGCCATTAAAAATTGTGGGAGTACCTTTAAATAAAAATTTGGTTAAAAGTTTGCTCCAAATTTCTACTATTGAAATGTTGAACAAATATTGCAGGTATATTTTAAATTGGATTATAAAGTTAGCCTGCTTTCACTATGAAATCCAATATTAGTGTAAAGGAGAGATTGGATAAGGGATACCCTATGTGAAAAGGCAGCGATTTTCTCTGCGAGATCTCGTCTCGGTCCGATTTAGAAGCATACCTAACAGTATTAGTGTATTAAAAGCTGTGGGAGTAATGACTTCGTATGACTTCTTTTAGATATCGGATATATAGCTATACGGAGGAGGTGAAGTGCAAAAAATACCGGACGATGATTTTGCTGCCTATTTCTCCTTCCTATTAGCAGCTGCCTATTACTCCTTCCCATTAGCTAAAGGAGAAATAAATAGCTAGCCAATATAACTGTTATAGATAACCTCAATGAGATGATTTTTTTAAATTTGGTTAGTCAATGTGTGGGGACACTGTAGAATCGAGAACCCTCCTATTTAATATATGCCTCATTATGGGCTATGATTTTGAAGTGCCAAGGATAAATCTTATAATGAAGTTCGTTCGTAATGAGGTCCACAAGTAACTAGGTCATACGTAATGACCTCTCTTTCAGATACCCTTTCGAAACTCGAAAATCGTATCTTATCATCGTCCAAATTGTTACTCTCATAGAGGGGCATTCAAATGAAGGAGTCATTCAATTAGAGGAAACATGCTTTATTAGCTATGGGATATAATATCATATTTACAAAATATTCGGTATATTTTTAAGTTCCTACAAAACAA